TGAGATGGAGAATGTTGTACGTACAACTTTATATTTATGAAAAACATGATTGAGGAAATTATAAATACATATTGTGATAGGTCGTCAACAGAAAGTCAATCATCTCAGAAAGATGACATCCATAGACAGATCTAGAAGAAAAGCTTTTGCCAACACACCCAAAATGTTGAACGTGAATCAAGTAATTACTCCATGCACGTGGATATAGATTCGTGGTATTGACATTAGGACGTATGTAACGTGTTGAACAACAAAGAGCTATTGGCATGATAGAAGCTGGCAGAACCCAGTAAGAGGTACTGTACTGGATATTTCCCATCATTTTGTATTAAATAGAAAGACACATTCTGTTTCCATGCCTTTACGAATGCACTCACTAACTAACTCACTAAGGGGATGGGGTGTTATTTACTCAATAAACATAAGATATATTTCATCCTCGGGTCTTACGACATTATCAACATTTTAGTTGATTCCTACCGAGAGTACATTACACGACACAATATACTACAACACACAATAATCACGTTAGAAAGTATACGCTAAACTGGGTATTCTGGATGACATTACTCCACCCATACTGTTCGTAATGATTATCAAAGTTCCCGACTGTAATGTAACTGTTAACAAAACGATCATCCTTGAGACGGGACCGTCACAGTTGTCCGGATTCTCGGATTGCATTGTGTGGCAGCGCAGCCAGCAACATCTTAAACGATACAACACATTCAGTTATGGTAGTGTATATATTTAACAATGGCGTAATATGACCAAATGCACCTGGTTTATAATGCATTATGGAACAATATTTACTGAGGGAACATTAACTTAGGGGTAAAAGAAAGTATATATGTTGTTTATTATGTATCTGGAAACTAAAAGAACTATTATAAAACTTGATTACATATTTTAACAATGTATGGTTGCGCACAAATTCAAATGCACACAATATCACTCCCTAGTCCTAAAATCCGACATATGCTAGTCAAGGCTATAGATATATACTTATAAGTATCTAGTTAACAAATTGAATATGAAACACGTCATAGAAAATACCCACAGGTGTAGATTCAGTTACTCCTCAGTCTATTGACTCTCATTCACTCAGGCCGATTTTACGTTGCACTGTTCTGTGACATGACCCTTTTAATGATAACATGCTCGTTTGCAGTAGAATTCTAGCTGTTTTACTGTCCATTGTCGACAGTTGTTTAATCTCAATGTACTGCTTGTTAATGTATAAATTCTTCCCGTCATGATATGCTGAGATACTACCAATGTGACATTAAATTTTCACTCACTCACTCACTCACGCACGCACGCATGCATGCACGCACGCACGCACGCACGCACGCACGCACGCACTCACGCACTCACTCACTCACTCACTCACTCATGCATGATGTTGCCTTATGAGAAGGAAGATATATTTATATTTATATATTTTGCGAGCGGAATGAGCTTTGAAAACATGAGAAGCATCAGAAGAGGAAATACGTACTGATGTGCACCAATACAAATGCACACAATGTCAACCTCCGGTCCGAAAATCCGACATATGTCAGTCAAGGCTATAAATAGACATATCGCTAGATGACTGTTAACGCCGGCGTGTGTACTCAAGTAAATGTAACAGGCAGGAAAGAAGGCTCACTCGAGTTAAGTTGTCATTCCCACGTTGATCACAGTACATAGGAAGACGGACTTTGTTGCTCCGATGACGTTATTACATATTGACCTAACATGCGTCAAGGCATGTTACGACCAAAGTGTGCTTGATAGTAATAAACTAAAGAGGAAAATAAGTAGCAGTGTGGATTGGCATATTGGGGAAATCCTATATGAGTTGCCATACAACTTGAAGAAAAAGAGTTCCTTGCCATGAAAATACGTGTTCACCAAGTTTGACTTGACTGTGACTTGATTTCTTTGTCAATAGTACATACGTAGAACATATATTGATAGTTCACAGGAATATGAGCACATTGTGACGACTCTGATTTGAAGTAATTGTCTATCGGACCTGCCACTATCTGAGTGACCGCGTTTTGCATTGAAAGTATTTCAGTCATCTGTATCTATATCTCAAAGACTGAGTGAGGCTTGTGCAGATGAAAGTGATCAATCACAATCGTATGAAATCTCTGCTGAATGCCGACCCTTACCTACAAACAGAAGGCAAACGACGGATTAAATGTGTGGAAGAGATTATGTCACGTCCCCAGTAATATGACTGGTATAAAGCATTTTTTGTGAACACAATGAAAATACAACTCGGCCATGTAAGTGTTCAGCTTTGTACATGCAACTAAAAGCAGGACTCCGGTTTATTGAATGACATAGCATGTTGCTATCACGAATATCATATGTGTTTAATCAAAGTATACCGACTGATTAAGATATCATGTAAATTAATGCATCGTATTTATAGCAATTATTGTATTATATGTATAGTATATCAAGTATAATTTCAAATTCATATTTTGTTCTAATTTTCTGTATCAACACAAGTGATAAATATATGTTATACAAGAGAAGCATTTATGTAGACACAGAATACAATTACAACTGTCTAAATGGAGTTGTTATTGTACTTTATCAAAGAAAGGAAACACCAACATTATTCAAACAAGATATGTGTTGATTCACATATAAATTGTATTAGTGTTCAAATAAACAACTGTTTTGGCAACTCATTCTAGTTGTTGGCAAGTGATATACAAGCCAGCCTGGTATTCACAAACTATTACATTTCCTATAACATTCAGACTTTCACTCTATTTCCCTGCTGCCATTCCTCAATATACAATACAAGCAGTTGTGTGGACCCAATACACCAATGTCCAACCTGTTGTTTGGTGATGACATTGCTGACACCATTAAGACGGTGGCAGCAACACACAAGCTTGGCTCAGAAATCTCTTCCCGCGGCGGCCGGAATGATCACAGAAAGAGCTTCACGCCACGCCCACGTGACCAAAGATCTGGGCACTACAACCGCCCCACAAACTACAATCCCCCGACACGAGGTAAAGGGAAGGGTTTTTTATACCGACCCCCAGCGTTCAAGAACAGGAAGCCGCAGGACGGGGTGAGGAGATACTAGAATCACGGAGTAGCCCAGAGGAGGTGAGGAACAATTCTGAATGTCCTTTTATTGATCCTAGGGATTTTATAGGTGGACAGCTTCAGTTTTACTCTGATGAGTGGGAGAAACTAACATCTGACCCTGTTATCTTACAAACTGTGAATGGTTGTCTTATCAATTTTGATGACATTCCAACTCAGACTTTTCAGCCAAATGAGATAAATTTCAATGAGTGTGAAAGGCAAATCATAAATACTGAAATAGGAAAACTGAGATTACATAATGTAATCGTTCCTTCTAACCATGAGCATGGAGAATATGTGTCCACAATCTTCATTCGGAAAAAGAAAAACGACACTTATAGACTCATTTTGAATTTGAAACATCTGAACAAACATGTTGAGTATGCTCATTTTAAAATGGAAAGTTTAAATTCTGGTATAACCCTCGTCAGGCCAGGCTGCTACATGGCATCTATCGACTTAAAGGACGCTTACTATTCGGTGCCGATACATCCTTCACATCAGAAATATCTCAAGTTTACTTGGGGTGGGGCTCTGTACCAGTTTACGTGCCTTCCGAACGGACTAGCCTGTGCACCCAGATACTTTACTAAACTGTTGCGTGTTCCGTACTCACATCTGCGGTCAAAAGGACACATGAACGTTGGATTCATTGATGATTCCTTTATAACTGGGGATAATCATCAAGAATGCTCGCGATTCGTTATGGAAACTGCTGAACTTTTCACTCGTCTAGGCTTTGTCATACACCCTGAGAAGTCAGTCCTTAAACCTAGTAAACAAGTTGTTTTTCTGGGTTTTATCATTAACTCTCTTTCTATGAGCGTGTCATTAACGACAGGGAAAGCTGACAAAATTCAGAAGGCGTGTATTCAGGTGATGCGACAGTCCTGTGTAAGTGTGAGACAATTAGCAGAGGTGATCGGGTACTTAGTAGCCAGCCTCCCGGGGGTGAAGCTCGGACCGCTGTATTACAGACGGTTAGATAACCACAAGTCACGTGTTATCAAACAGACGCGGGGTGACTATGACCAGTGTATGACATTAACCGCGGAGGACAAGCGCGACTTAAAATGGTGGATTGAAATTTACACACAGCCAGTAAGCCCATATCTGTTGACCCGCCATCCTTAACCCTGTCTGCTGATGCCTCAAAGAAAGGCTGGGGAGGGGTACGCGACGGACAGAGCACTGGCGGACACTGGTCACGTGACGAAGCGGATAAGCACATAAATTATTTGGAACTGTTAGCTGCATTTCTGACGCCCGTGCTTTCTGTGGTAGTGAAACGAACTGTCACATCCGTTTGCTACTCGACAATAGTACAGCTGTTGCATACATTAACCACATGGGCGGAAGAAGTGCCTACTGAACAGTCTAGTGCGTCAAATGTGGGAATGGTGTATCTCACGGGTATATGGATAAGTGCAGCTCACCTCCCTGGGAAGTGCAATGTCTTGGCAGATAAAGCGTCGCGGCTGATCAAAGACAATACAGAATGGTACCTTACAGCGAATGTGTTTAATGGCGTATGTTACAATTTCGGCAAACCAGAAATTGATCTCTTTGCTTCGCGTCTGAACAATAGATTACCAAAATATGTCTCGTGGCAGCCTGACCCAGACGCACAAGCAGTTGATGCCTTTTCTATGCCATGTTGGAAACAGTACTTCTATTATGCTTTCCAGCCTTTCAGTGTGATCAACGCTGTCCTGAAGAAAACGGAGGAGGACCAAGCCAGAGGCATCTTGATCGCTCCTCTGTGGAGCACACAGCCGTGGTTCCCCCGACTTCTCAGACTCATCACTCGGCCGCCTTTGATCCTACCGCCAGCTCGAAGAATTCTACGACTTCCACACAACGACACTCAGACTCACCCACTGACAAAGATGACACTAGCTGCGTTTCTCTTGTCAGGCGATCTCTCAGAAGGCGAGGAGTTTCGCAGAGAGCTACCCAAATCATCATTCAGTCCTGGAGAACTAGCACGAGAAAGCAGTATGCCACCTATGTCAGCAGGTGGATGGTGTTTTGCAGTGAAAGACAGACTGATTCGTTGTGTCCGGATGTAAGTGATGTGCTTGATTTCATGTGTGAACTATACGACCAGCAGCTTGGATATAGTGCTCTGAACACGGCACGGTCAGCCCTGTCATCTGTAGTTGTGTTAGATAGTGGAACCATTGGTAGTCACCCTTGATAAACAGGTTCATGAAAGGAGTGTACAATGCTAGACCTGCTTTGCCCAGAAACACTGTCACGTGGGACACTGGAACGGTCCTTAATTATCTTCGCTCAAAATCACCTGTCCGGAAATTGACCTTGAAAGACCTAACACTTAAAGCTGTGACTTTGATAGCAATTTTAACTGGGCAAAGACTGCAAACTGTACATTGTCTGGACATACGAAACATGACGCTTTCAGGCAATAGTTGTAAATTTAGAGTAGGTAGTCTGTTGAAACATAGCAGAGTAGGGAGTCATCAACAAGAACTGTGCATTGCAGCATACGCGCCAGACAGAAGGTTGTGTATTGTGACTGTGCTTCGCGAATACCTCGCGAGGACGGCCCCTCTCAGAGGTGTGAACACTCAATTGTTCCTCAGCTATAATCGGCCACACAAGCCCGTTGCCAAAGACACAGTAGCTAGATGGGTTAAACGAGTTTTAGAGCTAAGTGGACTGGACACTACTATATTCAGACCTCACTCCACTCGTGCTGCATCAACGACAGCAGCAAAGAACTATAGTGTGCCTCTGCAGACCATTCTTAAAACTGCAGGCTGGAGTAATGACTCTACTTTCGGGAAATATTACAACAAACCTGTTTTAGAAACAACTTTGTTTTCACACACTTTGCTTGAAAATGCCTAGATTTGATTGGATTGTACGTTCATATGCTTGTACCTGTGTTACGTTGTCAACACAAATAAATGTAAATATGTTTCATATTTGTCGGTGTGGTTATTTGAAACCTTGGCTTTAAATACTCACGTGATCACGTCTTGCGACGTGATTGGTTGAATTATAATTGAAAATTGAACGAAACTTACCTGGAAGTTGAAGGTTGATTGAGATTATATGAAACCAATCACAAGCAGAGGGATCACGTGCCCTCCCTACTGGTTGGTATTACCCTCCCTTGTTATGGGCGGTTTTCAAATAACCCTTTAAAATATGACCCCTGCTCGCTTTCGCTATCTCACGTGATCCCTCTGCTTGTGATTGGTTTCATATAATCTCAATCAACCTTCAACTTCCAGGTAAGTTTCGTTTAATTTTCAATTATCATACATCTCACTATTGCCTCAAGCTGTCCCTTTCGAACATCGTGTTCACATGTGTTGTAACAGTTGTACAAGGACCAGCGTAGACAACGTACTATCAGTCGTCAGTACTGTAAGAATGCGTTTGCAGGGAGGCCACTCTGTCAACTCTCCGGATTGTGGACATGGGATTTGGGGAATGAGAAACATCCCTATACTAATAACGTTTCCAGTTTTATGAAAGAGACGGCAGTTTAGATACAGATATGGATACGCTGTGTGTGTGGATTTCTATGCGCCATGAGTACATAACTATGTAACAGGGATGAAATCTGTAACACTTCATTTGTTCGCGTTATTGGAGAGGGGAAACTATCACATCCTTATGTCGATCACAGGGCATCTAAGGGGCGTGGTGGGCGAGCTGGCTAAGGCGCCAGGCTTGTGATCCAGCGAGCGTAAGGTGTCGGGATCGAGCCCACCTGTGACTGGGTGTAAAAGCCTTGGAGTCAACTTTGTGTGCAGACTCTTTCAGTGTTGTCACAACCCTAGTGAAGAGTACGAAATACTGTGCTCTGAAAAGAACCCACTAATCCTATAATATATGATACAGCAACGTGGACGTACAGTAAACTTGTACAAAATACTGTGACTATGTGTCCCAGTCCACTCAGCTGTTCATGGGTACCTCGTTAAGATGAGAAAACCGCAATAAATCGGTGCGCCTAGTGGCTGCAAGAGTTGTATGCTCCCCGGGGAGTTGCACGTCGCGCACAACTAAGGCAGCAGCTGTCAAACAAAAGCATTGTTTCTGTCACGATTCAGTTGAGGATAGTGGTCTGCTAGCTATTTCATTCAGACTGGGCCTCAAGAATAGTCTGGAAGTTTCGAAAGCATCACTTTATTTAAATAAAGCAGTGAAAGTCGGTTAAATACACACTGTCTTTGCTGCATGGTTACCTTTTACAACAAGGTCGAGTATATCCCATCCCTAACTGCTACCAGTCTCTGTCGTTGACAGGGCATCTCGCCACAAATTCGCACTTCTCGTCAAATTACAACAGCTGTCAAATAAATGAGGGTGTACAGACTCAAGGACTGGACTCACTGAGGACTCACTGAGTGGTTTGACCTCATATCGCCTACACCACTATTTCGCCTACAGCTTATATAAACATCCTGTCAAATCCCATCTACCCTGTTCAGGGAATGGAATGGCCCTATTCCACTGTAGTTTCATCGAATGCAACTAAATGGGAGAGAAGACTATTGAGAAGTTACTATTGATACATGATTTGTTTTAAGTATACAGTGAAGGATATTAGTGAAGGGGGGTTATGCTTTCCCCTGGGTGAGATAATCCAATTGTTTTGATTAGAATTAATACTTCAAAAGATTTATCTTATAAAAGTAAAAAGATTATAATTAGGTCTGTTGTGGTTGCAATGAGGGGTCATCTCAACATAATTTTCTAAAAGTATATATACATGCCACTGATCTTTAGTCGGTATCAAAATGGCAAATCTCCAGAGAGCTGAGTTCGTGACTTCACAGAGAGGTGGACAGCAGTTACTGTATGCAGGCTACCGGTACAGGCTCAATGTCAAGCGACAGGTTGTACACACTGGAAGTGTGTCCTCACAGGATGCAATGGTCGCAGCAGCACCATCGGAGACCACGTAGTGTCCTCCACTATTCACAGCCACCCACCCTTTGAGAATGGAGAACACATCCGACTCGTCGCCCGTGTAAAAGAGCGTGTAAAGACTGACATCTCACCGGTGCTGCAGATCTACAACAACGAGCTCGACCTCCTTGATGAAGATGATGCCGCAACTGCACCCACGTACTCTAATATTCAGGCCGCACTGTACAGACACAGAGCCAAGTCCATCCCACCACTGCCTGAGAGCAGGGCTGGCGTCACTCTAGAAGGAATATGGACCCAGACCGATGATGGCCGAGAGTTCCTCTGTGTAGACGACGGTGAAGATGACAGACTTTTGCTGTTTGCTACAACCGAGATGCTGGAATTATTGAGCGACGCTGACATTCTCTTTATGGATGGTACATTCTTTGTGTGTCCTAACCTGTGGCTACAAGTGTACATCATTCATTGTCTGGTGAATGGTAAAATGTTTCCTGTCGCTTTTGCGTTGCTTCCCAACAAGACCAAGCGGACGTATGTTAGGCTTTTCACTTTGCTGAAGGATATTGTTGTGAGACGACTTGGCATCGAACTTTCACCAGAAATATTCCAGATCGACTATGAAGCAGCAGTTATCAGTGCTATTAGTGAAGTCTTCCCCGACAGTTCCGTCCGAGGTTGCCTATTCCATTATTCTCAAGCTTTGTGGCGTCAAGTTTTGGAGAGGGGACTGTCTCGCGACTACATGAACAACCCAGCAGTCCAAGCCCACGTTCGACGAGCAGCTGCTTTGCCACTCCTTCCCCTGAACCAGGTCCAAGATGCTTGGTTTGAAGTCATCGAGCAGTCTCCCGACGGCGACAGAGTAGCAGCCTTCAACGACTACGTCACCAGCACCTGGGTTGAAGATGATGCCAAGTTCCCAGCACACATCTGGAACCAGCACGAAAACACAGGCCCGCGCTCAAACAACCATCTTGAGGGATTCCACTCTGGCTTGAAGAAACGCATACCCCGATCACACCCCAACATCTACCAATTCGTAGAGGAGCTCAAGAAGATCGAGAAGGCAGACAGGCGCACAAGACGACAGTTTGGACTTGGAGGAGCAAGGAGACCACGAGCACGTGTAGACCGTGATCGAGATCAGAGGATCGAGAGACTCAAGGTGCAGCTTTCCACCGGTGTGAAGTTCAGATGCAGTTCCTTGATGCTGTTGGCCACATCCTCAAGCTAAACTGAGAACTCAATTCAATCAAACTCATAACTCTGTGTGCTCCTGATGACAATGAAGTGCTTTATTTATTTTAATTTAAAATCAAAGTTATTAATGTATTAAAGTAATGTGAATCACATACATTTGTTTGTTTTTCTTATCCCTTAGGCTGGTCCATTATTCCATGGGTAACATAGGCAGGAAATGGTGTGCAATGGTGCATAAAGTTGTTTTGATAAGACTGTAGGCGAAACGGTGATGTAGGCGATATGAGGACAGGCCCACTGAGTCTATGTATAGGACGTTGTAGGAATGCCAATACACCCTGTGTGCATGTCTTGCACATTGAAGAAAATCAAATCATTTTGATTTACAACAAACGAAAGACATTTCATAACAACGGAGGCGGTGGAGAAAATTAGTAACAATATTCAGAATTTCACAGCAGGGAATGTATGTAACCCAATAACTCGGGTTACAAAGGTGTGGCGAGGTGTTCACAAACAGGGAAGTAGATCGCCTACCGAATCCAAGCACTCAAGTTAAACAGCCTAGTAATGATACAATCAAAGGGTAACAGAAGAAAGAAAGGAATTTAATCATGAATATTTCTTCTTGTGTGTAGCTCAGCAATTGGAGAATGCGGCATATAACAGATTCAGGTCAAGATGTCTTGGCACAGAAAAACCTATTACGCTTGTGTCACGGATGGGATACACTACATGACACCTACGATGTCTATTTATATTTTTACAAATGGCGTCCAATCCTCCCGAGCCTTACCTCACAGGGAGAACATCAGCCCTTAAAGTGGAGGAGATTGTACACATTCTGAGGATTCCAGATGAGAGCAAGGTCATCCAGACAGCGCCCGTCACACCCCAGGGAGGGGAGGTGTACCTCTACAAGATTACCTCGCGTATGAGAGAAGGTGAGGCAGTTTTGTTCAGACTCAATGTTAAAATGAGGTAGGGATCGATGCATAGACACAACCTAAATAGTCGACAGAAGGTGATATGACTTCTTATACTATCTGATATCAAAGGCTCGTTAAACAGATAACATGAATATCCTTAAACACAACACACATATGCACCAACATGCCATCGGGGTCACCCTGACCTGGTTTCTATGTATTGATAAACCACTGTATTCATGACTAAAGACGCTATATCACGGATTTAGGGCATTACCTGAAGTAGGTTTCTTCGCTCTATATAAGGAAACATGATTGTTATTTGAAGTAGGGATATAATCACAAGCTTATATAGTACAATTAGTATTTACACCTCTTTTGAAACGGTACATTAGTTCTTTTTCATTGGCGCAGTCCCTTCAATGTACGCCATTGCACATAACAGGAAAGCAATTGTTGGATTGAAATATAACCTAAACAAAAATGTACCTTTGTTTATCATCTCGAGGAAGGAAAAAGGGAAGTGAAGGGGTTTGAAATCGAATACCAAGGACATGATAGTCATTATAACAACCATCCATGCAAAATGAAAATGCTTGATCCAAAATAGAATACCATCAAATAATTTTGACTTCTGTGAACTTTGGTTATGCCGAACAAAGCTGAGTTTGCATTGAGGGTTTTTGATTCTGAAGTGAGGTTGCATTTTCTTAATATTCACATCTCTTTAGTTGAAACTAACATGCATAACGAACTATCCATCTTATGGCAACAATGCATGCTGTCTTTCATGTTATGTTGTCCAATTGTATTTTAGATATCTGGAAGGACGACAGATATCACTTCAGGAGTGATGGAACCCGGAAGCAGCCTGCCTCCAGTCCACTCATAGTGAAGCAGTACCACAAGGCTTACACCAAGGACAAGATGACAACAAGGGCGTTTGTCAGAGAAGCATCCTATCTGTACGACCAGCCTGTGAAACACGTCCTTGTGCAGTACATCGGGGACCACACGCAGGCACAACCTGCTCCTCAACGTAAGCGGCGTGGTCGACAACCACGTCATTCCCATGGTTCCCCTAAATATATGAAAGCTGAGTCAACTAATGAAACTGTGCAGCCGGGTGTTTCGGGAAACACCGATGCCACCCTGGAGCTTGAAGGCCATTCATCACCAAAGGAACTTGAGGAAAAAGGAAATTTAGATACGGTTTCAAGTGTTATATTGAATGATGCTACTCCCAGTATACAAAGTGTGTCGCGGACATCTGTCCATGAAACAGGAAATGATCACGACACAAACCAGAAACGCTGCAGGACTATAGATAATATATGTGATGATGATGACATTGAATATTTGGGTTCAACATCAGGCTCCTCGGTCAAGAAACCCCGTTTACAGTCTCGAGCAGGAAGTGACAACACAGTTGTAAGCTATGACACTACCACTGACTATGCTTACTTGTACAGATTTCTGGAAAGAGTAGAAAAGAGCCGGGATGTGATAAAGGTCGTACAACGAGTCCTGGCATTATCTAGGTTCTGGAACAAGGGCTGTACCAACAAAAGCAATTCGTGCTGGACACTCATAGAAGAGGTAGAGAAACAGTGGCCTCAAGATGCAATAAAAGCAAGGAACTGGGTAAAATGTTCTGTGAATACTGACGCTCTGAGCTTCAACCAAGACCGGTTAGTCTATATAAAGCTCATAGCTGCAGTGCTTGTTGGAGCGTGTCATACCAGAACTGAAGTACAGGACTTTGTGAAAACACTGGATGATCATCCATCACACCTACAGCATGTGCAGGACTGTACCCTGTCACGTGACTGTACATACACAGTTGGCTGCTACACCATCAGAGGAGATGTTCTGTCTCGCCTGGAAACCAACGAGTGGCTGACCGACGAAGTAAGAAAACTAGGTGATATACATAGGATTGTTTAAAAATATGAGAAATTCAACATCTAAGACAAGGGTTTCATAGCGCAGTTTAACTACTTCTTCATAAAAAAAACAATTACGGATATTAAAAACATATATTATGATCGTCAACAGGTCGTCAACAGAAAGGCCATCTGTAAAAAGGAAACCTTTGACCAACACACGTACAATCTCGTACGTGAACCATGTAATTACTCCATGCACGTGGGTATGGGGTCATTCGTGATACTGACATTTCAGTGATAAATCTTCAAATAGTCCAACACTTAAGCTCTCTACTATTGCTTCCATGCAGTATTTGTGATGACATTAGGACGTCTGTAACGTGATGAACGACAAAGAGCTATTTGCATGATAGAAGCTGGTAGAACCAGGTAAGAGGTTGGCTGGTATGTATATTTGTCCCAATTTGTGGTTTATTGTCTTTCAAACAGGTGTGTGCACTCACAAATGGCAATGAATGATTTTATCGCTGTCCACTTGCACTAGGCTGTGGCCGAGTCATGTAACTGCTCAAACGAGTAGAACTTGTCTGCATGCTGCTGACGTGTTCGACCACATGTTGTCCCACCGTCAGCAAATCAATATATTTGCAATAGACGCCAACTAACTATGCTTAGATCGTAAAATCTGGACGAATCGCCAATGATCCATACTCATGAGTACTGAGTGGGGGAGTGAGTTTAGTTTTACGCCGCACTCAGCAATATTCCAGCCACATAGTGGTGGTTTGTAAATAATCGAGTCTGGGCCAGACAATCCCGTGATCAACAGCATGAACAGCGATCTGATAATCCTAAATTTAGTACAATGGATTATATCTACAGTGATACATGTCGTATATGGACATTGGTTACTAATTCTAACACATCATCAGTACATCGTCTGTCTTTGGTAACAATAATCGCATTGTCCTCTTGAAAGACATGCAATGTGCAGCTGAACCTGCTTTAAATCCAACTACAAAGTTTGACTTGAGCCCTAAGCACTGGGTCCTTAATCTGTACAATAAATATTCTAATATATCCCAACTCTTACCTGGACAGATCATAGACACCTACCTGCACCATCTGGAAAGAGAGTGGTGTTCCCGTGTCAGCTTCCACTGCTTGGTGCTGCCTACAGAGACAGTGATATTGTGGGAGGCTGGCCAGTACACAGAGAGGATAAGAGGGAAAGATGTGAGTAATGTGAGATGACATCATTAAACTTTGCACTGCGATTTTTCCTTTTCCAGAGTAACATTGCATGACCACTGTGTGAATTGCATTGTCAAAGTCGAGACGATTATTATTTGTATCGTAATTGTACAAATGTTAACGCAAGTATTTTCCTGACTTCTAAAGAAAGACGTATCGACTGAGTTGCTTAATGTGTAATTCTGTTAAAGATGTATGCGTGCAATTGTGATGATCTGTGATCATATGAATCAGCAACAGGCGCTGCACTATTTCCCTTGAATTTAGTCAAACCGTTTGATTGATTGTAGCCTATTTTATCATAATGGTATTCGTTTTCACATTTGTGTCAAAGTTGGTGTGTACATTGCGTATAGAAGTCACCACAGTTTACCTCGAATTCCGAAATTGTAAAACTTATAGAAAAGTCCATTCAACCAAACTCTCTCAAATGCTTTCTCATTATTAAGGAAGGCACAATAAACTGGTGAATTTCTTTCGACATAGTAGGCAATACTTTCAGTTAGAGTAAGCCCTGCCGTTTCCGCCCCGCATCCTTCCTAAATGCAAACTGGAGAGGGTGAGGCAAATTGTTTTCTGCTTTTGTCCATGTTTAAATTCTTTTGAGCAGTAATCTTTCAAAATGTTTTGAGAGCACAGGCGTAAGAGTGATGCATCTATCATTACATGGATCATGCTTGCTTTTACCGTTTTCTTTGTGAATTGGTAAACCATTACCAACACTAAATGCATTTGGTTACAGATTCAAACGATACAATGGCACTGAATAGTGATACAATAAGGTCAATAACAGATCGACCACCATACTTTATGCATGTTTGAAATACCATCTGGGCCTGGAGATGTGTTGTTTTTAAGACCGTTTTACGGTATCAAGTACCTCATCTTTAGTAAACGGGAGAGAAAGACTGAATCACAGTCGTCATTTATAGGGTTAAATACAACATTTTCTATAAACTTATCAACGTGCTCTGTAAATCCAGTATCAAAGCATTCTGCATTCTCAGGTACAGACAAATCTCTAATGTACCTGGCAAAGAGATTACATACACCTACCTGCGTGTTACAGGAGTCACTGTTATAAGTTAGAGACTGTGTTTGCTCTCTCTTTTGCAACTCTAAGGTATTCTTGGATGTCTACCTCAGCTGCTTGGTAACTTTCATCAAATGTTTCATTTCTGTAACGTTGCTTAGCTGAACGGTCGTTTCTTCGAAATGCACGTTTGGCATGTTTATATTCAAAAAAATATTTGTCATCTGAACTGTGGCTTTTGCCGTTAGAAATCCAATTTTTGCTGCAAATACGCACATGGTCATGATGTTATTTAAGTTCATACTTCCTCCACTATAGCTTTAATTGTGCTTGGAATTTTGAATTAGGAATTGCAAGTATAGATGCAGCATGTAGACATTCTGTGATATAACTATTGTGACACTCGTTGTACGAAGTTTGCTAACCAAAACAAAAGCACGTGCTTGCTCCATTATGTTGTGTTATAAACTACGAAATGTTTTGCACTATGTCCAAATATGGTATGTGTTCTAGAACCACTTCTTACATCAGAGGATGAAACATTCCAGACATCTAAATGTCGTTACAGCACACACATTATGAACTTCCTCTCAAACGTAACAGAAATATATGTAAAACAATTACAATGTTTTCTAGTATATTGCTCTACCATCAAAATATGCTAATCCGACATGGTAAAGGCATTTGCTGTGACCTTTCAGGAGAATTTGGCAAACTACACGTGGATCTTGATGCCAGTGAACATGCCACGTAATCAACACTGGGTGCTTCTGGTGGCTAATGTCAAGGATGGAACAGTGGGGGTAGTCAATTCTAAACCAGCTTTAGATGTGGAGGACTCAGTTGTGACACACTGGAGGTAGGTAGACAGAAGAGTGGGTGTAGTCAATTCTAAACCAGCTTTAGATGTGGAGGGCTCAGTTGTGAGACACTACAGGTAGGTAGTCAGAATGGTGGGTGTAGTCAATTCTAAACCAGCTTTAGATGTGGAGGGCTCAGTTGTGAGACACTACAGGTAGGTAGACAGAAGAGTGGGTGTAGTCAATTCTAAACCACCTTTAGATGTGGAGGGCTCAGTTGTGAGACACTACAGGTACATAGACAGAAAAGTGGGTGTAGTCAATTCTAAACCAGCTTTAGATATGGAGGACTCAATTCTACAACACTGGAGGTAGGTAGACAGAACAGTGGATGTAGTCATGCACTGCTGTATTTGCCCTCCTCTCCATATTAACTTTAACCACAATCCACAAAAGCTGAAGAAGTTGCCATCCAGAAATACACATCTTTTCCCCAGGTCATTTGTAAATCACTGGAAATCTACATCCGGGAAAGTGGGCAAACCGTGGCTGAAGAAACAATACCTAGTGATAGACCAGGCTGATGGACACAATTGTGGGATATTCGTCCTCATGGTAGGTTGGTTTGTAGACACATATGTACGCCATGCACTACTTAGGTCGACTGTGGGGATACAGAATCACTTGTACTATGGCAGCGGTCATGCCACAGGGGCTCAATTTCCCATCGACTATCGTCAATTCATGAGCATCAGTTGAAACTGGAATATCAACATTGGCTGTATGTGCCCTCTTTCAAATGACTGCCTCATGGCTGACCAACCTATTGCTATTGACAAGGTAACAGATGTCTCATACAGGGATTTTGGGAGAGTTGAGGGAAATCATCATTGACACACAGTTCGTTCATGTTGAGATCTCACCAACAAAGCACATGTGATATAATCAAAACCTCATAAGATGTTCATGTGAAAACCTATGATGTGTTTAATTACTACGTATATAAAGAGCCTTTTAAAGTTTTTAACCTTCATATCATCAGGCTGCTGATGCCCTTTTGGCGGAGATGTCTCCAGGAATAATGAGGAACCACCATGCAGAGAAGTACAGGCTGTATGTACTACAGAGGATACTACAGCATGCCAAGACGGATATACAAAGAGGAGGAAATCACACCTTTGAAATGGATGTCACAGACAATACTCAACATTCTGAGACTGTGACGGAAGGAAATATACTGGAAAGAAGCTATACAACAGAAACAAAACAGGGTCAAGTCATTGAAACAGTTGTACAACATCATGACACTTTTGTCGAATCCGACGGTGCTATGGCCACTGATAAAGGTATGTATAGTGAAGGTAATACGACCAACATTAGGTATAAACTTGTAAATAGCGATGTGATATTCTATTCTAAATATGTCTATATATGCAATACACTCCTCTCATACAACGGTAATGTATATTTACAGATGCAGATGAATACCCATGTCTCAATGAACACCTGTCACAGAAGCGGTTGATGGCATGTTTGTTAATTGTTGCTTTGGCGGGGAATAACCTGAAGAAGAGGTTGCTACGGGCAGGTTCTGACACAGGAACAAGAGTGGAAAGAGAAACCTACAACCGATACATTGCTTGGGCGCTCAAGGTTTTCGACATCAATGCAGACACATACACTAAGAAGATGATACAAAATGATTTAACACAATTGTCAGGATGCTGTCTATGTCAGGAGGCTGGATCATACAGAATAAGAAACCAAAACGTAGCAATAAGGCTAAGAGACCTACTGCTCAGCGATCTGAGACAATTGATTGCAAAGATGGACTTGGAGTTTATATTTCGTTATGTGAGTTCAAGAGCTGAATCCACTGAGGTGGAAGAAGTAGATATCCCCTTCCAAATTGAATTGAAGCAAGATGTTGTACCTGTTGTAGCTCAACGTTTTGCGGCAGCCATTCAGGGCAGAGAGTTTGCTTTTGTGTGCATGCATTCTCTCTTTCAGGAAGAGACATTTGTCGATATGGTCTTTGAGAATCTGGTGCAAAATCTGAACAAGGACAATTCTACTCTCTTGAAATTATTGTCCCGTAATGACACTGTACATGGACAGTCCTTTCTGTTTTGGACGAGCATTACAGACAACTCGAAATTGTTGCGGAAGGCTTTGTCCACTGTTCAATTTAGTGTACATAACAGAAAGCAAGCTTTGTTTGGAAGTTGCTTTGGTAGTAGTTCAGACAACTTCGATTACTTGCTTTCCGAATGTAATTGTAAGTTGAATAAGTTGTGTATGACATTGCGCAATCTTCCAAGACCTCTTATCATCAAACTGGAATTGGAAGTTGTAGATGATCTTGGGGTGAAGTTTGACAATATTTCCTTGCTTGACATTGCGTGTATGAGTGGACTGTCTGCAGTGGCTTCCAGACTCTTGCATGTAACGAAGGCAATGAACTTGAATAGGTCAAGAAAGGCAACATATGTACATTATGCATCTATGTGCCAACGGGGCAGCAATATTATCGGTACAATTATAAAGATGGGACATTCTAGCATAAAGATCATAGGTCCGGGAGGATCAACACCTTTACATTACGCATGTGCAGTAGGAAATGTTGGCATTGTAAGCATTTTGTTGCAGGAAGCAGTGGATACTGGAAAGCGAAACATTAGGGGTGAAACTGGGCTTCATTTGGCATGTTTATATGGGAATTTAGAAGTTGTTAAACTGTTATTACAAACAAAAGGAACAACAACTGAGACAGATAACGATGGCAACACACCTCTACATGATGCATCCTATGAGGGACATAGAGAGGTTGTAGAAGTGTTATTGAAGAACAAGGCAAATGTGGATGCGAAACGCGATGATGTCCGCACAGCTCTACATGTTGCAGCCTGGCAGGGACATACAGAGGTTGTAGAAGTGTTATTGAAGAACAAGGCGAATGTGGATGAGAAAAGCGTTGATGGCCGCACACCTCTACATGATGCAGCCTGGCAGGGACACACAGAGGTTGTAGAAGTGTTATTGAAGAACAAGGCAAATGTGGATGCGAAACGCGTTGATGTCCGCACACCTCTACATGATGCAGCCTGGCATGGACACACAGAGGTTGTAGAAGTGTTATTGAAGAACAAGGCAAATGTGGATTCGAAACGCGATGATGTCCGCACACCTCTACATAGAGCAGCCTGGCAGGGACATACAGAGGTTGTAGAAGTGTTATTGAAGAACAAGGCAAATGTGGATGCGAAACGCGATGATGTCCGCACACCTCTACATAATGCAGCCTGGCAGGGACATACAGAGGTTGTAGAAGTGTTATTGAAGAACAAGGCGAATGTGGATGAGAAAAGCGTTGATGGCGACACACCTCTACATGATGCAGCCTGGCAGGGACACACAGAGGTTGTAGAAGTGTTATTGAAGAACAAGGCAAATGTGGATGCGAAACGCGATGATGGCGACACACCTCTACATGATGCAGCCTGGCAGGGACATACAGAGAATGTAGAAGTGTTATTGAAGAACAAGGCAAATGTGGATGAGAAAAGCGTTGATTGCCGCACACCTCTACATGATGCAGCCTGGCAGGGACATACAGAGGTTGTAGAAGTGTTATTGAAGAACAAGGCAAATGTGGATGCGAAACGCGATGATGGCGACACACCTCTACATGATGCAGCCTGGCAGGGACATACAGAGGTTGTAGAAGTGTTATTGAAGAACAAGGCAAATGTGGATGCGAAACGCGATGATGGGGGCACACCTCTACATGGAGCAGCCTGGCAGGGACATACAGAGGTTGTAGAGGTGTTATTGAAGAACAAGGCAAATGTGGATGAGAAAAGCGGTGATGACCGCACACCCCTACATAGAGCAGCCTGGCAGGGACATACAGAGGTTGTAGAAGTGTTATTGAAGAACAAGGCAAATGTGGATGCGAAACGCGATGATGGCAGCACACCCCTACATGTTGCAGCTTGGCACGGACATCAAGAGGTTGTTAAGGTGCTGTTGAAAAACGGGGCTAATGTCCATGAGAAGGATTGTAATGAAGAAACTGCTTTACAGAAAGCAAAGGCCCGTCATTACGATGACATTGCAAGGACTTTAACCGAGGCAGCAAATAAACATGACCTGACACCGAACCTTGGTTCAGTTCCACACGGAAGCTATACTGGCAGTGGTCTTCTTATACCGGCACAACCATCAACACATTGTCCTGTAAACCTCACACAAGTTGAGGTGCGAGGGTTTTTTGTTCCGAGTGAACAGGGAGAAATATTTTCCAAAGACTTGCAGCTTGGTTCGTACAAGAGAGGCATTGCCCTTCAGTCAGGGCAACTCCATCCTGAAAACGCGAATCCTAACAGCCCACATCCAGATGCTGCACATATAGACATATCTTCACTCAGTCAAACACCAGGGTCTATACAAGGAAACTACAATCATGATCCGACCGTAGTGCATATTCCAGGAGGCAGTGATCCACTGGCGAGTTCAAATACCACCAGTGTTTCTGAGTGTACCATCACTCACTACACCGAGAGTGGGGAGGCCATAGTGCTGCAACCGCTCTAAAGTAGGGATACAAACAGCTTGAAATTTTTATTATAGCAACCAGCTGTACATGGCTTTCCAACCTTAGTCTTTCGAAGTAGACATGCAGAAAGCAGGGAGATTATGTGTGATATGTGTAGATTTAGTTTCAGTGTTTTGATAAGCATATCAGTTTCAGAAAAAGCCCTGCACAATACGTATGCTGTTGCAATAGTATATTTGATGCTATAAATAGTTGATGGTATGTGCCATCTGGTCATCCACCGGATGAGTTCTTTTGAGTGCACTGGGAATCTACTGTATACTAGAGGTTGATACAACACTGGCAACACTCAAATCACCTTTAAACATTGTTGGTCCATAGGCTGATGAACGATCAGGTTCTTAGCGGGATAAGATCTCAGCATATGTTAGCCTGGTTATTATAGAGCAACAATATAGAAAAATGATTGTGCCATTATATCTTGCATAACAAACTCTGCAATTGGAAACAATATTGCTCTCATATGTTGTATATAGCTTTGAAATGTGTATGGAACTATTATTAAGTAAATACCTTTACTTTATCAGATTGTCAACAAGTGAAAATAGAAACATTTAAATTTAAGTACTAAATAGCATGTTATTAGATGATGTCGTAAATTACTATAAAGGGTTGTGTTTTGTATAACAAGGACGGTGGACATATATTTATTCTATGCTTTGCATTATCCTCTAGATCGTGTTGAAAGAATTGGAAGATGTTATTTGTGATGTTTTGTAAAAGTAAAGCAAATCATGTCCAATAATTTTGTATCGAGTTGATGAAGCCCATTTCTGGTGCCCCCTCCCGCCGTGATATTGCTGGAATATTGCTAAAAGCGGAGCAAAACTCATTGAGTTGAATGACCACTACAGCAACGCCACAGAAAAAAAACAAACGTTTATGCTGCTAGAGAAATGACTTTGTGTCAGTTTAACTTGTTATTACTTACATTGGATATCGTTGACATTTCAGCATGTAATATTGAAACTTTGCGAAGCATTGTTATAGGTTCATTCATAGTGTCATCAGATAACGTGTTTCGTGTTTTCTCAGCATTACCCAAAACGGAATTTGTTTCTGCAAGACTGGGGGGCACTGACGTTCTATATTATGAAAATGAATCAGTTTACCAGTGTATTGTTTTAAAGAATGCGAAAAGATGTTCAAGATTTAACAAGAATTTAAGAATGGATCACGTTCTTCATTTAAGATATTCAAGTGTGATAATTTTACAAATTTATGTTATAGGGACTGTGACTGTAAACTGTGGGTTTCAATAAAATGTGTAAAGAATTCATTGAAATTATTTACTAATTTCACAGTTTAGTTTAGTTCTAGCTTACTTCAGGGCTAACATTCGCATTACAATGCTGAAATCAAATCTTTTCTGTGACATATTGTTTAGTTTCGATTTCCAGAATTTAGAAGACTTTCCTTGATCATCAAGAAAAGTTAACACATTTTATAGTCTGCGTTCCTTGCTGCCAGTGAGTATAAAGACAATTACCATGGTAATGCCACTGTCAGATTCGTACTATATTTTCTACTATTTTTACGCGATTGGGTACAAATCTTGGTTGTCTTGTGAACAATGTATAACACTGAACGCTGAATAGAAATTGCATCATGAGGGATAACAGGTTCAGAAATCTGCTTATATTTCTCATCACATACAAGATGTTTATATCATATACTTAAATCAAACACCATATCGTTTATATTGTGCTATAACACTATTATAATTGATATATAACTCCCAGCAGAACGTCGCCTGTGAGGTGTAGTGGATAGACCCTTTGCCTGGAGACGTGAACATATAGTACTCGTGTTGCCTTGAATAGCCATGCTTGCCTATTTCCGTTTTCAAATTAAGGTTTAATTTCAACTGAAGTATTACACAATCTGCCACCGCTTTACAAATAATATCCTATTTTATGTCAAGGGTACCTCTAGACAAGAGACGATTTCGAATAACGCATGCGGCGTTTACGATAGCTGGTCAAAGGGAGGCAACTCCGCTGTCAGATATTTATTTCAGCAAACCAGTGGTTTACACTTTGGTTAAAACACCCCTTGACGCAGCATAGGGGCATAACCTGTACCCGAACGAACGTGTGGTTACAATGACTAAGTTAAGCTGATCAGTTATTGAGCGGGCAAACGACTTTAGTGTATAATGTTTGCAAACCTCAGACTGGCGAAACAAACAAAAGTAATAAACAATAGTACCGAAGTTTAAAAATATAATTCATATAATTATTTGTTTTGCTTACCTTGCATTTTTTAGAACTGAGATGGTAATTCCTGAAACGTTGATAACTATTCACGCTCGATGATAACTGCTCTACCGATATAAAGAGAGGGACGTTTTGAAATAATGTATCATATGATGGTCATTTACCACTGTATTTACAGCGGAAGATAATGTCTTAATTTATAAGCAGCATTGAATTTCGTATCAATTTCTTAGCATGAGTCATAACTCATAACATGAGTTACTGTTAACTCATAGGCAAACAGTGAAAGCATAACGAACAGGAGGAGATGGAAGAAATTTGGGACCTCTGCCAGTGGGCAGAGAAGAGCTGAATTCACTTCCATTGCATAGGTTTTGGATTCATGTTTATGCAATAATGAAAGCTAAAAGTGTGATAATATAAGCACATAAATTAGTGGTGTATATATAATAATACACATGATACATACACGAATGCAGGCATACACGGAAACACGCACTCATTCATTCTGTTAACAGTTCTCTGAGAGTGTGCAAAATCCGTTACAAACGTAAACCAGTCCGACAGTCCGATATAGTAGATGGCGTTTCGTATATTACACAAGATAATATGATATTTGTGTGAGAGCAGTAGATGGACATGAACAACGAATTCATATCATGCTACTCATGAAGCATTTAGTACAGAATGGGCATTTTGATGTATGTGGGTTTGGAACATAGGAGACTCAACAGGGAGTGATCAGGTTGCTGTGTTTGCCATATTAATCAGTCGTGATCTTGAATTAAACTTAAGGGGATAATTGAGCTCCATCAAACTGCACTAAGATGTATGAAACAGCCTCACGGATACAACATGCAGATTAATCTGAAAAATGTGTTTTTAAAATTCAATATTGTCTCACATGATTACATATATCCATGTTGATGGTGTCTGTAGCGTCCAAACCCCACGTTTTCAGACAAGTTGTGTGAATGTTATGAAACACCAGAGACAAGAACAGGAAACTACCGCATCACGACGGGCTAATTGAGGGTCCGACAAACCCCTGAAGGTAAGCTTCAACAGTTGACGTCATTATTTTGACACACAATCAGCAAAGTCACAAATTCTGACCACCTGATTCTCTCCGGTTGTGTCTAGCAGTAACGACAGGATATTGGGGATGGGCTCTTTACCCTGGTAGATATAATGTTATAACATCTCGTGATCATCATCCAGGACAGATGGAACTACGACAGATGGACTTTCAAAAACTACACAGAGACTAACATAGACATATCATACCCACGTTCAGTGATGAAATAAACGAGAAGGTTATAGTTGAAATAACAATATTTATTCTTGAAACATAAGTAGGCATCAGACATGAATGATATAATGAACATGATCACAGCAATTGAGCTGTGACACCACGCTGTTGCTCTAGCCCAACTACATTTGACACACAAAGTCCAGAATGCAGAATGTTTAGTACGTCCTCTATTTCAAACGTACAGCCACTTTCTCACCTAATAAGCATGTAGAAGGTCTACATATAAAGTGAATGTGGGTGTGAAACTTTGTCTTGTTCGATCACCATGACATTGAGTCCAAGTTCGATTCCATCCGACTCAATCCCAATCCCGATATCATTTGGCACCAGACTGCGCTGTTTCTTTGACACTCTCTCAAACCATCAATTTGTATTATCAATTACTGGGTGCTGATCGTTGACTGGTACACACCGCTGGTACACCACACACAGCACAATCCAACACACCACACACCACAATACAATAACATGCATGAAATCTAGCACAGTGCAATGCAATAAAAAAATACAACTACACAATACAATACATAACATATAACACGAAATATACAAGGCAATAAAGAGAGAATCGTAGCTTAGGTTCAATATAAATTTTACTAGAGATATGGGTTGAGCACTGAGTCACTGGTACAAATACGTGAGCACCCCCAAGAGCACAAGCAATGAAAGCGGTGTTTAGTTAAGTCATCATTCCACGTTCGGGCAACATGTCCAGGATTCTGTGTAAATTTTAAAGTGGATAGTTTCCTCTTGAAAAGATACCAAGTTGCTTGGCTGCGAAGAATTAGACGTCTATTACTGAAGAATGTTGAGAATGTCCTTCCACTCTATCGTACATCTGTCATTGCATCTCCACAGTGCTCTCACGAGGACCAGACCAGTGGCGGATCCTCCGTTCTTCTCCTTCCACTTGGTCAGCATGTGTACAACTTGCATGTACAGTGAACCTGGGTGTGCAACTTTGCCCTGCTCCAATTTAACGACAGTAAGTCCAAGCTCGATCCCGACAGACTCGTACCCGATCCCCAAGTGACATGAAACACGACCGGGATCTCGTGCAGATACTGGTGTATCCAGTTGGTCTTCAGTTACAGCATGTGCGTGGTTCCATGGTGTTTGCCCTGCAAAAATCATATCACAATGAGGATAGTCTGTACCTGAACGTGTGCGTTTTATGTATTAGATTGGCATTCAAAATTCACATAAATTATTAATTTGTTAATGTATGTTAATTTGGCAAGTTATCAATATTGAATTCAAAGAATAGAAGTAGTAGAACATGTAGCTAATATGCAGGAATGTATCAAGAAAACATTTCCGAGTACACATAGACCGACTGGACCTGATAAAACATATTAAACTAACAATCCGTCTTTTAATTTAAAGAAACCATTAATATGATTGAACTTACCTCCATGTGCCAACTGGTGTTCATACTGGGAGGCAATGTGGTTGTTTGTGTTGAACAGTTTCTGGAACCAAAACGTACACAATGAAATGTATTCCTTTGGGCATGGAGAATTTAAATACAGGCGGTTAAAGAAAAACTGTCACTTTGTAGGGCAATGTCTCACACTCACACTCACACTCTCACACACACACTCACTCACACTCTCACACACACTCACTCACACACACTCACGCACACACACTCTCACAGTCATTTAATGCTATGTGATACACACGGTTGCTTATATACTGGATAAAGGGGCTTCCCCTCCTTGGGTGTCGCTAGGCTGTGTCGATGTTGATACCAGTCAATTCTAGTTTTCACTGCGGATTTTCGAAGCCAGGACTTATAAACTGGAGTAAGGAGATTCCCCTCCTTGCGTCTCGATGTCGATACTAGTATTCACTGCGGATTTTCGGAGTAGTACGATCTTTCTGATATCAGTGGTGACGGTACAAACACACGTGACCATTCACTGGATCAGTTTGCTTTCAGTGGCATTGAATGATGGGTTTGTTTGAGGTGTGGGCACATTGAGTTTGTTTTTTTATATTTCCCTCCATATTGCATAAAACGGAACAGACACATTCTGATTGCATGCCTATAAGAATGCACTCAGAAACTCACTAAGGCAGACTGAGTTTGGTTTTACGCCGCTTTTAGCAATATTCAAGCAACATCACGGCGGGGGACACCAGGAATGGGCTTCACACATTGTACCCATGTGGGGATTCGAACCCGGGTTTTCGGCGTGACGAGCCAACGCTTTAACCATTAGGCTACCCCACCGCCCCCTCACTAAGGGAGGGTAGTTAACGCCATAAACATTAGAAATGTTTCATCCTCGGTTCCTACGACATTATTAACGTTTTAATTGATACCTACCGATAGTACATTACACAACACAATATACTACAACACACAATAATCACGTTAGAAAGTATACGCTAAACTGGGTATGCTGGGTGCTGAGTATGCTTGTCGCAACATCCACCTACACACCCCTCTGGCACAGTCACATGACATTACTCCACCCATACTGTTCGTAATGGTAATGAAAGTTCCCGACTGTAAGTAACATGTAACTGTTAACAAAACGATCGTCCTTGGGACGGGACCGTCACAGTTGCCCGGATTCTCGGATTGCATTGTGTGGCAGTGTAGCCAGCAACATCTTAAACGGAACTACACATTCAGTTATGGTAGTGTACATATTTAACAATGGCGTAATGTGACCAAATGCACCTGGTTTATAATGCATTATGGAACAATATTTACAGAGGGAACATTAACTTAGGGGTAAAAGAAAGTATACATGTTGTTTATTATGTATTTGGAAACTAAAATAACTATTATAAAACTTGATTCTGTATTTTAACAATATATGGTTGCGCACAAATTCAAATGCGAACAATATCACTCCCTAGTCCTAAAATCCGACATATGTTAGTCAAGGCTAAAGATATATATATACTTATAAGTATCTAGTTAACAAATTGAATATGAAACACGTCATAGAAAATACCCAGAGGTGTAGATTCAGTTACTCCTCAGTCTATTGACTCTCATTCACTCAGGCCGATTTTACGTTGCACTGTTCTGTGACATGACCCTTTTAATGATAACATGCTCGTTTGAAGTAGAATTCTAGCTGTTTTACTGTCCATTGTCGACAGTTGTTTAATCTCAATGTACTGCTTGTTAATGTATAAATTCTTCCCGTCATGATATGCTGAGATACTACCAATGTGACATTATATTTTCACTCACTCACTCACTCACTCACTCACTCACGCACGCACGCACTCACTCACTCACTCACTCATGCATGATGTTGCCTTATGAGAAGGAAGAAAAAATATATATATTACGAGCTGAATGAGCTATGAAAACATGAGAAGCATCAGAAGAGGAAATACAACAAATACAAATGCACACAATGTCAACCTCCAGTCCGAAAATCCGACATATGTCAGTCAAGGCTATAGATAAACATATCGCTAGATGACTGTTCACGCCGGCGTGTGTACACAAGTAAAAGTAACAGGCAGGAAAGAAGGCTCACTCGAGTTAAGTTGTCATTCCCACGTTGATCACAGTACACAGGAACACTGACTTTGTTGCTCCGATAACGTTATTGCATATTGACCTAACATGCGTCAAGGCATGTTACGACCAAAGTGTGCTTGATAGTAATGAACTAAAGAGGAAAATAAGTAGCAGTGTGGATTGGCATATTGGGGAAATTCTATATGAGTCATACAACTTGAAGAAAAAGAGTGCCTTGCCATGGAAATACGTGTTCACCAAGTGTGACTAGACTGTGACTTGATTTCTATGTCAATAGTATATACTTAGAACATATATTGATAGTTCACAGGAATATGAGCACATTGTGACGACTCTGATTTGAAGTAATTGTCTATCGGACCAGCCACTATTTGAGTGACCGCGTTGTGCATTGAAAGTATTTCAGTCATCTGTATCTATATCTCAAAGACTGAATGAGGCTTGTGCAGATGAAAGTGATCAACCACAATCGTATGAAATCTCTGCTGAATGCCGACCCTTACCTACAAACAGAAGGCAAACGACGGATTAAATGTGTGGAAGAGATTATGTCACGTCGCCAGTAATATGACTGGTATAAAGCATTTTTTGTGAACACAATGAAAATACAACTCGGCCATGTAAGTGTTCAGCTTTGTACATGCAGCTAAAAGCAGGACACCGGTTTATTGAATGACATAACATGTGGCTATCACGAGTATCATATGTGTTGAATCAAAATATACCGTCTGATTAAGATATCATGTAAATTAATGCATCGTATTTATAGCAATTATTGTATTATATGTATAGTATATCAAGTATAATTTACAATTCATACTTTGTTGTAAATTTCTGTATCAACACAAGTGATAAATATATGTTATACGTGAGATGCATTTATGTAGACACAGAATACAATTGCAACTGTCTAAATGGAGTTTTTATTGTACTCTATCAATGGAAGGAAACACCTACATTATTCAAACAAGATATGTGTTGATTCATATATATATATATATAGTGTTCAAATAAACAACTGTATAAGCAGCTCATTCTAGTTATTGTCAAGTGATACACAAGCCAGCCTGGTATTCACACACTACTACATTTCTCATAGCATTCAGACTTTCACTTTATTTCCCTGTCATCATACATCTCACTATTGCCTCAAGCTGTCCCTTTCGAACATCGTGTTCACATGTGTTAAGTTTTAACAGTTGTACAAGGACCAGCGTAGACTACGTACTATCAGTCGTCAGTACTGTAGGAAAGCGTTTGCAGGGAGGCCACTCTGTCAACTCTCGGGATTGTGGACATGGGATTTGGGGAATGAGAAACATCCCTATACTAATAACGTTTCCAGTTGTATGAAAGAGACGGCAGTTTAGATACAGATATGGATACACTGTGTGTTTGGATTTCTATGCGCCATGAGTATGTAACCAGGTAACAGGGATGAAATCTGTAACACTTCATTTGTTCGCGTTACTGGAGAGGGGAAACTATCACATCCATATGTCGATCACAGGGCATCTAAGGGGCATGGTGGGCGAGCTGGCTAAGGCGCCAGGCTTATGATCCAGCGAGCTTAAGGTGTCGGGATCGAGCCCACCTGTGACTGGGTGTAAAAGCCTTGGAGTCAACTTTGTGTGAAGACTCTTTCAGTGTTGTCACAACCCTAGTGAAGAGTACACAATACTGTGCTCTGAAAAGAACCGACTAATTCTATAATATATGATACAGCAACGTGCAAGTACAGTAAACTTGTACAAGGTACTGTGACTATGTGTCCCAGTCCACTCAGCTGTGAATGGGTACCTCGTTAGGATGAGAAAACCGCAATAACTCGGAGCGCCTAGTGGCTGCAAGAGTTGTATGCTCCCCGGTGAGTTGCACGTCGCGCAAACCTAAAGCAGCAGCTGTCAAACAAAAGCATTGATTCTGTAACGAAAGAAAGGTATTTAATCATGAATATTACTTCTTGTGTGTAGCTCAGCAATTGGAGAATGCGGCATATATCACTTTCAACAACAGATTCAGGTCAAGATGCCTTGGCAGAGAAATACCCATAACGCTTGTGTCACGGATGGGATACACTACATGACGCCTACGATGTCTATTTATATCTTTACAAATGGCGTCTGATCCACCCGAGCCATACCTCACAGGGAGAACATCAGCCCTAAAAGTGGAGGAGATTGTACACATTCTGAGGATTCCAGATGAGAGCAAGGTCATCCAGACAGCGCCCGCCACACCCCAGGGAGGGGAGGTGTACCTCTACAAGATAACCTCGTGTATAAGAGAAGGTGAGGCAGTTTTGTTCAGACTCAATGTTAAAATGAGGTAGGGATCAATGGATAGACACAACCTAAATAGTCGACAGCCAGCTGATATGACTTCTTATACAATCCGATATCAAAGGCTCGTTAAACAGATATCATGAATATACTCAAACACAACACATATATACACCAACATGCCATCGGGGTCACCCTGACCTGGTTTCTATGTATTGATAAACCACTGTATTCATGACTAAAGACGCTATAGCACGGATTTAGGGCAGTACCTGAAGTAGGTTTCTTCGCTCTATATAATTTACACCTCTTTTGAAACGGTACATTAGTTCTTTTTCATTGGCGCAGTCCCTTCAATGTACGCCATTGCACATAACAAGGAAGGCAATTGTTGGATTGAAATATAACCTAAACACAAATGTACTTTTGTTTATCATCTCGAGGAAGTAAAAAGGTAAGTGAAGGGATTTGAAATCGAATACCAAGGACATGATAGTCATCATAACAACTATCCGTGCAAAATCAAAATGCTTGATCCAAAATAGAATACCATCAAATAATTTTGACTCATGTGAACTTCGGTTATGCCGAACAAAGCTGAGTTTGCATTAAGGTTGTTTGATTCTGAAGTGAGGTTGCATTTTCTTAATATTCACATCTCTTTAGTTGAAACTCACACGCATAACGAACTATCCATCCATCCATCTTTTCCAATTCTATTTTAGATATCTGGAAGGACGACAGATATCACTTCAGGAGTGATGGAACCCGGAAGCAGCCTGCTTCAAGTCCACTCATAGTGAAGCAGTACCACAAGGCTTACACCAAGGACAAGATGACAACAAGGGCTTTTGTAAGGGAAGCATCCTATCTGTACAGCCAGCCTGTGAAATACGTCCTTGTGCAGTACATCGGGGACCACACGCAGGCACAAGCAGCTCCTCAACGTAAGCGGTGTGGTCGACAACCACGTCATTCCCATGGTTCCCCTAAATATATGAACGTTGAGTCAACTAAAGGAACTATGCAGTCGGGTGTTTCGGGAAACACCGATGCCACCCTGGAACTTGAAGGTCGTTCATCACCAAAGGAACTTGAGGGAAAAGGAAATTTAAATACCGTAACGGTTTCAAGTGTTATATGGAATGATGCCAACCCCAGAATACGAACTGTGTCGCGGACATCTGTCCATGAAACAGGTAACGATCATGACACAAACAAGAAACGCTGCAGGACTATAGATAATATATGTGATGATGATGACATTGAATATTTGGTTTCAACATCAGGCTCCTCGGTCAAGAAACCCCGTTTACTGTCTCGAGCAGGAAGTGACAACACAGTTGTAAGCTATGGCACTACCACTGACTATGCTTATCTGTACAGATTTCTGGAAAGAGTAGAAAAGAACCGGGATGTGATAAAGGTCGTACAACGAATCCTGGCATTATCTAGGTTCTGGAACAAGGATGCTACCAACAGAAGCAATCCTTGCTGGACACTCATAGAAGAGGTAGAGAAGAAGTGGCCTCAAGATGCAATAAAAGCAAGGAACTGGGTAAAATGTTCTGTGAATACTGACGGTCTGAGCTTCAACAAATACCGGTTAGTCTACATAAAGCTCATAGCTGCAGTGCTTGTTGGAGCGTGTCATACCAGGACTGAAGTACAGCACTTTGTGAAAACACTGGATGATCATCCATCACACCTACAGCATGTGCAGGACTGTACCCTGTCACGTGACTGTACATACACAGTTGGCTGCTACACCATCAGAGGAGATGTTCTGTCTGGCTTGGAAACCAACGAGTGGCTGACCGATGAAGTAAGAAAACTAGGTGATATACATAGGATTGTTAAAAAATATAAGCAGTTAAACATCTAAGACAAGGGTTTCATAGCGCAGTTTAACTCTTTCTTCATAAAAAAACACAATTAAGGATATTAAAAACATATATTATGATTGTCAACAGGTCGTCAATAGAAAGGCCATCTCTAAAAAGGAAACCTTTGACTACCACACGTACAATCTTGTACGTGAACCATGTAATTACTCCATGCTCGTGGGTATGGGGGTCATTCGTGATACTGACATTTCAGTGATAAGTCTTCAAATAGTCCAACGCTTAAGCTCTCTACTATTGCTTCCATGCCGTATTTGTGATGACATTAGGACGTCTGGAACGTGTTGAACGACAAAGAGCTATTGGCATGATAGAAGCTGGTAGAACCCAGATGACATTAGGGCGTCTGGAACGTGTTGAACGACAAAGAGCTATTGACATTATAGAAGCTGGTAGAACCCAGGTGACATTAGGGCGTCTGGAACGTGATGAACGACAAAGAGCTATTTGCATGATAGAAACTGGTAGAACCCAGATGACATTATGACGTCTGTAACGTGTTGAACGACAAAGAGGTATTGGCATGATAGAAGCTGGTAGAACCCAGGTGACATTAGGGCGTCTGGAACGTGTTGAACGACAAAGAGGTATTGGCATGATAGAAGCTGGTAGAACCCAGGTGACATTAGGGCGTCTGGAACGTGTTGAACGACAAAGAGGTATTGGCATGATAGAAGCTGGTAGAACCCAGGTGACATTAGGGGCGTCTGGAACGTGTTGAACGACAAAGAGCTATTTGCATGATAGAAGCTGGTAGAACCCAGTAAGAGGTTGGCTGGTATGTACATTTGTCCCAATTTGTGGTTAACTGTCTTTCAAACAGGTGTGTGCACTCACAAATGGTAATGAATGATTATATCGCTGTCCACTTGCACTAGGCTGTCCCCCTATGGCCGAGTCACGTAACTGATTAAACGAGTAGAACTTGTCTGCATGCTGCTGACGTGTTCGACCACATGTTGTCCCACCGTCAGCAAATCAATATATTTGCAATAGACGCCAACTAACTATGCTTAGATCGTAAAATCTGGACGAATCGCCAATGATCCATACTCACGAGTGCTGAGTGAGTGAGTGAGTGAGTTAAGATTTAAAGTCACATCGGCAATATTTCAGCCATATCGTGACTAAAACTAGTTCTAAATTTGTAATACAGACATGTAATATATAAAACCCTGTCAACGAAGGACAGTAAAAATACTAGATAATCACAGCTATCAATATAAAACTAGCGAGCAAAGCTAAAACATTCCAATTAAAGAAGACAATACATTGTAAAAATGGGCTATAGATCACCAACAACTGAAGGTAGATCACCATACTAGGGACCATGGGGACTTACTGTGCCTTTGCTACCTGCATGGACCCTAGCTGGATTTACACCATCCCTTCAGCCATTGGCCACGAGTGCTGAGTGAGTGAGTGAGTTTAGTTTTACGCCGCACTCAGCAATATTTCAGCCATATAGTGGTGGTTTGTAAATAATCGAGTCTGGACCAGACAATCCCGTGATCAACAGCATGAACATCGATCTGATAATCATGAATTTAGTACAATGGATTATATCTACAGTGATACATGTCGTATATGGGTGAGTGAGTGAGTTATTATTTAACGTCACATCGGCAATATTTCAGCCATATCCTGACGAGAACATTCGATATTGAAATGAAATACATGTATGTTATAAAAACCTGCCAACGAAGGACAGTAAAACAACTAGAATATCACAGATATGTATGTAAAACTAGTAAATAAACTAAAATATGGTACTTTTAAATGACAATACAATATAAAAACGTACTATAGATCGCCAACAACTGAAGGTAGATCACCATACCAGGGACCATGGGGACTTACGTTACTTTTGCTACCAACAGAGGACGTTGTCGTATTGGCCAGTTGCAAGATCATTATATAATTCTATAATTTCTATTAAAAGTGGATGTTTACAAGAAATATTTTTAATCGCCTGAAGGCAAGAAAGAGAGTCAGAAAATATGATACATTGTTTATATTTAGGGTGTCTATTTATATATTTAAGAGCTGTTAGTATTGCGTTTGCTTCTGCTGTGAAAATTGAACTGTCATTGGGTAATCTGGAAGAGATTGTTTTGGACCCAATGACAGTGGCACAAGCAACCGCGCCACCATCCTTGGACCCATCTGTAAATAACGATTTATATGTATTATATTTACTTTTTAACTAATTATATTCTTGTTTATATTGTGAGTAATTTGTTTCTGATTTTTTAAACGACGTTAATGTTAGGTCGACTTGGTCTAACCAATTGCCAAGGAGGAGAGAGAAAGAAGTCGGGAAGGAGTTATATTTTCCAGCTCAATGCCGGCAGCAGGAATGAATGGCTTAATCCTGAGCCCAAAAGGCGGAACAAGAGAAGATTTCTTGTTGTACAAATCCTCATAAAGAGGATTAAAGACACAGTTGAATGCAGGGTTAGACTCGTTAGAATAAAGTTTTGTTATATACTGCAAGGAGAGTTTTATACGGCGTTGTGTAAAAGATGGTTCATCTGCCTCGACGTAAAGGCTGTCAACAGGAGAAGTTCTGAAGGACCCAAGACAAAGTCTCAGACATTGATGGTGGACTGAATCTAAGAGTTTTAAGTTTCTTTTACAGGCTCCACCATATACGATGGAGCCATAATCAAGCTTCGAGCGGACAAGTGATCTGTTAAGGTGTAGGAGCGTAGCTTGATCCCCTTCCCACCTTGAATTAGACACGACTTTCAATAAATCGAGTGCCTTCAGGCATTTAGTTTTTAGGGATTTAATATGCGGAAGAAAGGTTAAATGGGAGTCAAAAATCAGACCCAAGAATTTGGCCTCTTTTACAACCTTGATGGGAGTGCCATTTAAAAAAAGTTCTGGGTCTTTATGTGGTTTATATTTACGGCAGAAATGTATGCAATTAGTTTTTGATTTAGAAAATTTAAAGCCGTTTTCCAGACACCATTTATTTAATTTGTTTAAACACAACTGTAGTTGCCGTTCGATAGTATACATATTCTTACCGCGACAAGAAATGTTAAAATCATCCACAAAAAGTGATCCATTAATTGAATCATTTAAAACCTTGGATAAACTGTTGATCTTAATACTAAACAATGTTACAGACAAAATACTGCCTTGTGGGACACCCTGATCCTGATTATAATGGGCAGACAGGGTTGAACCCACTCGGACTTGAAATTGCCTGTCTTTTAAAAACTGTGATATGAAAAGAGGTAAACGACCCCTCAAACCAAAATCATGTAAATCCTTCGAAATGCCATTCTTCCAGGTGGTATCGTATGCTTTCTCAAGATCAAAGAAAATCGATACAGCATGTTGTTTATTAACTATTGCATTTTTTACAAAGTATTCTAAACGTACCAAATGATCAATGGTACTACGATTTTTCCTGAAACAACATTGAATGTTGGTTATAAGGTTATTGATTTCCAGATACCATGTCAATCTATTATTGACTATTCGTTCCATGGTTTTACAGACACAACTCGTTAAAGAGATTGGTCTGTAATTAGACGGATCAGTATGATCCCGGCCAGGCTTTGGAATAGGAACAACAATGGCATCACGCCACGAAGTTGGGAAATTCCCTGAAGTCCATATTTGATCAAAAATTTCTAAAAGGATTTCTAAACATGATTCGGGCAAATGCTTCAAGAGTTGAATATTATCAGCTCCTGTTGCTGTATCGTGAGCTTGCTCAAGGGCGGTATGGAGCTCATGTAACGAAAATAGTTCGTTATAATCTTCACCATTGTCTGAGTTAAAATTTATTCTTTTCTTCTCCTGTTGTTTCTGATACGTTTGAAACTCAGGGACATAATTAGATGAAGATGAATGCTTGGCAAGAGTTTCACCAAGTTTATTTGCAATATCAGTTTTATTAGTCAAGAAATTATCACCGTCCTTCAAATGATGAACGGTAGATTTGGAACCTTTGCCCTTTATTCTTTGGATCATGTTCCACACCTTTGACATAGGTGTACGTGAATTTATTTTAGAAACATAATGTCGCCAAGACTGACGCTTATTTTGTTTAAAAGAACGTCTAGCCTTAGCATTAGTAATTTTGACCTTGTCTAGATTATGGACAGTAGGGTGTTTGCGAAAATATTTTTCGGCCTTTTCCCTACATTTCTGGCCTGTTTGCATTCATTATTAAACCATGGTTTACGAACATGCGGAATTGCAGAGGACTTAGGAATTGTTTTGTCAGCAATGTGATTAAGTATATCCGAAGAAGACTGTATAGGATCTTTACTGTTCCTAAAAAAATCATGCTGCAAGTGTTCAACACACAGTTTCTCATATAATGACCAATCCGCCCTGGCGAAATTTCTCCTTGATAAAGGTGGATCATCACCAGGGCTGATTGTTTTGAGAATGGTAGGGAAGTGGTCACTCCCACATAGGTCATCATGGACCATCCATTCAAATTCATTATACAAGTTTGAGTCAGCGAGAGACAGATCCAGGGAAGAATAAGTTCCCGTAGCTGGATGAAGATAAGTGGCTGAATCATCATTCAAAATACATAAATTATTATCGGAAATGAAATCCTCAATAATTTTACCTTTAGTATTAGTATGGACACTACCCCAAAGCGGGTTGTGTCCGTTCAGATCACCCATGATGAGACATGGCTTTGGCAGCTGATCATACAGATTTTACAGATCCGACAGTCGGATATCAGAAGATGGAGAGACATATAAACTGCACAGCGTCAACGCAATGTGCATAGTCAGACGAACAGCTACAGCTTGGAGATTGGTATTAAGAGGGACAGGGCTATGTATGATGCCCTGCTGTACCAAAACAGAAGCACCACCAGTTGCTTTATCTCCTGGCGGAGAGAAGCAATGCTAATCACTGTATTGTCGCAAATTGAATGAGTCCGTATTTTTTATATATGTCTCCAGGAACATATAATGCTGAAGGTTTAAAATCCTGTAATAACAATTGTATCTCATTGAAATTATTCTTTAGCCCTCTGCAATTCCATTGAATTAAATTGGCCAACTGAGTCATGGTGGCTCAATTGGCGATCTCGCTCTAGAATGGGAGTTGGGTAAGCTCCTCCGTCTGTCCTGTGAGTACGGAGTAACCTCCATATCTAGAGGTCCAAACGAGTTTTGTGTTAGAACCTCTGAAGGTGATGAGACATTAGGCGATTTGTCTCTGTTTAGTTTTTTTTCCTTTCTTCTTCTTTGGTTGATCTCCAGCTGGTTTAAGAGCTGAGGATTGTAACTGTGTAGAGAGCTGACCTTCTGTCTGGGATCCAAACGTAGACTGGGTGACTCGGGAAGTTGGTGGAATAAGTCATTGATGTAACTGGTTTTTCTGACTTGACCCAAGTCAAGTCAGTCTGACATGCAGTTGAGGACACCGCTACAGAGCGGGATACTGCAGCTGAATAAGTGATATTCTGAGGGGTTGAAGGCTGATTATTGAAAAAAAAATTCGCATCAAGGTAGGGAATATTCTTTTCACATTTTATCTTCATAATTTGTGATTCCCTTTGATACACGGGGCAGGACCTGGATGAAGCAGAATGTAGGCCATTACAGTAAGCGCATTTGAAAGTATTCTGACAATCTGCACCATCATGTTTGTCCCTACAACGGTGACAAACTGCAGAATTACGGCATGAGTAGGTTCCATGACCAAAATGCTGACACTTGTAACACCGGAGTGGATTGGGGATATACACATCCACCCCGATGTTAAAGTAACCTGCCTTGATCGACTGGGGAAGAGCTGATCTGGCAAAAGGCAAGAGACAGGTGTTGTTTTTTATTATTTTCCCTTCTTTTTTTGATCGTAAAACGCTTCACCGCTGTAACAGCCTGATCTTCAAGCTCTGCAGCTATCTCCTCCTCGGACATGTCAAAGAGACAGCGAGCCCTGTCTCGTATAATGCCACGGCAAGAATTGAGAGTCCTGTGCACGGACACAGCAACCTCCACATTTGCAAATGTTTTGATGGATAAAAGATTTAGAGATTGCTGTTTCCGTGCGCACTCCACCAGAAGTGAACCACTACGGAGCCGGGTGACATTTTTTAACCTCACCACATATCCCATGGATAGCTTTGGATATGGCAAATGGATTCAGTTTTATTGGTAGAAAATCCGAAGCTTCAATTACTAGGAAACGAGCCCATGAATCAATGTTTGGCGAATTTGTTTCAGTAGAGTGATCAAGTTCGTCTAGTCGTCGCTTTTTCTCGTATCGAGATGAACCAGCTTGTTGGGATGCCGTCATGAAAGGAAAAGTATTCAACACCCCTGCTCCCCACCCACCATGGAGTGTCAACAAGGACGGTGTCAAAGAGCACCGGATATCCAAGATGCTGACACCAGGGATACAGGGGTGTTATACTCCAGAGACAACGACACAAATAGCTATATTTATCTACCAAATCAATGTCAGGCTGGTTCGACCCATGACAATAAATTGGAGACATACATCATTTGGAGGTCATTATCACCAGATTGGCCCATGAGCCACCGCCTTCTGGCATAGAACTCTAGGCAAGTTAACATAATAATTTGAACATTGAGGATCAAAAAATAACCAAGGCCCGAAATAAGCAAATGTGCATATAATAGATTCACCATGCACAGGGCTTGGCGTGACCAGCCGATTGATAGAACCGGGCCAGTTCTACCGCCCGTCTAGGTGAAGTAAGGGCCAAAGTGGTGTGTTGGGCAACAGGAACACGGTTCCAGGATCCTATTGCCCTCAACCACCAGAATCCCGTCCACCACCGACACAGGGGCGCAACCCACCTCAAACAAGTTGGTGGACCAAATATGCCCCCAGGTTCATCACGGGGGGTTGAAGGGCGCTTAGCGTTACCCAGCACCCACCACGAGGAGGTGGCCCTTCATGGGTGCTTGTCGTATATGGACATTGGTTACTAGTTCTAACACATCATCAGTACATCGTCAGTCTTTAGTTACAAGAAACGCATTGTCCTGTTGAAAGACATGCACTGTGCAGCTGAGCCTGCTTTGAATCCAACAACAAAGTTTCACTTGAGCCCTAAGCACTGGGTCCTTAATCTGTACAATAAATATTCTAATAAATCACAACTCTTACCTAAACAGATCATGGACACCTACCTGCACCTTCTGGAAAGAGAGTGGTGTTCCCGTGTCAGCTTCCACTGCTTGGTGCTGCCTACAGAGACAGTGATATTGTGGGAGGCAGGCCGGTACACAGAGAGGATAAGGGGGAAAGATGTGAGTAATGTGAGATTACATCATTAAACCTTGCACTGCGATTTTTCTTTTTCAAGAGCAACATTGCATGACCACTGAACCAATTGCGTTGTCAAAGTCGAGACGATTATTATTTGTATAGTAATTGTACAAATGTTAACGCAAGTATTTTCCTGACTTCTAAAGAAAGACGTATCGACTGAGTTGCTTAATGTGTAATTCTGTTAAAGATGTATGTGCGCAATTGTGATGATCTGTGATCATATGAATCAGTAACATGCGCTGCACTATTTCCCTTGAATTTAGTCAAACCGTTTGATTGATTGTAGCCTACTTTATCATAATGATATTTGTTTTCACATTTGTGTCAAAGTCGGGTACAGACGCAGAAAGATTCATCAGATAGATTATGTATATTTCCTCCGAAGTCGAAGATACAACAGGTTGTAACATAGGTGTTATATATAAATATAAAAATGTATCAACAGGTTACAGAGTGGGATAATCAAAATTAGAATAGGTATTTTAGTTGATGTAGCAAGGATTTTACAGAGCTTGCGATTGATCTTTTTACATTTATACCACATTTCTTGTTGAAGCTCTTGAGCATATACATTTGGTAGACCATAAATGAGACAAATAGGTCTTCATCATTCAATAAACTGACAAAAGTGTCAACATCTAGCATGTCAACTAGTGACTCAGTCAAAGCGTTTCTACTACTTTGTATGAGAATAAAGTGTAGAAAGACATGTTTTACAATATCATAGGCAACCATGCCTCATTCACACTCAAGAACACCGAATGCTCAGTGTGCTGATACGTAAAAGAGCAGCAATATTATTGAAACACTCCGGCATTTTATAGCATGCAGACCATAGTCTGTGAGCATTTTTAGGATATGTTATCTTCTCAACCTCGTTGCACAAGCAACACATGAATCCTCAGCTTTAAGTATTCTAGGTCATACATTGTGACAAGATTGAGCATGTGGAAGATTGGCAATGACTTGCTATATCGCTCTTTCTCCAGTGATGAAGTCTATCTGTACTGACAGACTCTATGCACAGGCACTTTCTTAAAGACAAATTCAGTATCGATGTTACATAATTTACCGAGAAATAGCTAGGACTTCTTGTGCGTATATCTTCGTAGTGTGACCAGGGCGAGACTGTCTCTGGCTATTGTGGATGATCCACGTTTTCAAACATTTGCCATGTCCAGAGTCAACGAATCTGTGAAGTAAGTCGTTTATATATAGAGTGAAGAGCCAAGCTGATAAGACACGACCCTGACCCACGCCCTGTTTTACATCGAATACTTTAGAAATACAGCCACCAGTGCTACCACATGATTTCATTGATGTGTACATTGCGTATAGAGTCACCATAGTTTACCTCGAATTCCGAAACTGTAAAGCTTATAGAAAAGTCCATTCAACCAAACTCTCTCAAATGCTTTCTCATTATCAAGGAAGGCACAATAAACTGGTGAATTGTTTTCGACAAAGTAGGCAATATTTTCAGTTAGAGTAAGCACTGCCGTTTCCGTCCCCGCACCCTTCCTAAATCCAAACTGGAGAGGGTGAAGGAAATTGTTTTCTGCTTTTGTCCATGTTTCAATTCTTTTGAGCAGTAATCTTTCAAAAAAAAAGTTTTGAGAGCACAGGCGTAAGAGTGATGCATCTATCATTACATGGATCATGCTTGCTTTTACCATTTCCTTTGTGAATTGGTAAAACATTACCAACACTAAATGCATTTGGTTACAGATTCAAACGATACAATGGCATTGAATAGTGATACAATAAGATCAATAACAGATCAACCACCATACTTTATATGCATGTATGAAATACCATCTGAGCCTGGAGATGTGTTGTTTTTTTAAGACGTTTCACGGTGTCAAGTACATCATCTTTAGTAAACGGGGAGAGAAAGACTGAATCACTGTCGTCATTTACAGGGTAATATACAACATCTTCTACAAACTTATCAACGTGCTCTGTAAATCCAGTATCAAAACATTCTGCATTCTGAGGTACAGACAAATCTCTAATGTTCCTGGCAAAGAGATTACATACACCTACCTGCGTGTTACAGGAGTCATCGTTATAAGTTAGAGACTGTGTTTGCTCTCTCTTTTTGCAACTCTAAGGTATTCTTGGATGTCTACCTCAGCTACTTGGTAACTTTCCTCAAATGTTTCATTTCTGTAACGTTGCTTAGCTGAACGGTGGTTTCTTCTGAAATGCACGTTTGGCATGTTTATATTCAATAAAATATTTGTCATCTGAACTGTGGCTTTGCCGTTAGAATTCCAATTTTGCTGCAAATACGCACATGGTCATGATGTTATTTAAGTTCATACTTCCTCCACTATAGCTTTGATTGTACTTGGAATTTTAATTAGGAATTGCAAGTATAGTTGCAGCATGTAGACATTCTGTGATATAACTATTGTGATACTCGTTGTACGGAGTTTGCTAACAAACACAAAAGCACGTGCTTGCTCCATTATGTTGTGTTATAAAGTACGAAATGTTTTGCACTATGTCCAAATATGGTATGTGTTCTAGAACCACTTCTTACATCAGAGGGTGAAACATTCCAGACATCTAAATGTCGTTACAGCACACATTATGAACTTCCTCTCAAACGTAACAGAAATACATGTAAAACAATTACAATGTTTTCTAGTATATTGCTCTACCATCAAAATATGCTAATCCGACATGGTAAAGGCATTTGCTGTGACCTTTCAGGAGAATTTGGCAAACTACACGTGGATCTTGATGCCAGTGAACATGCCACATAATCAACACTGGGTGCTTCTGGTGGCTAATGTCAAGGATGGAACAGTGGGGGTAGTCAATTCTAAACCAGCTTTAGATGTGGAGGACTCAGTTGTGACACACTGAGGTAGGTAGACAGACGAGTGGGTGTAGTCAATTCTAAACCAGCTTTAGATGTGGAGGGCTCAGTTGTGAGACACTACAGGTAGGAAGACGGAAAGGTGGGTGTAGTCAATTCTAAACCAGCTTTAGATATGGAGGACTCAATTGTACAACACTGGAGGTAGGTAGACAAACCAGAGGATGTAGTCAATTCAAAACCAGCTTTAGATGTTGAGGACTCAATTGTACAACACTGGAGATAGGTAGACCGAACTGTGGGTGAAGTCAATTTAACCACCTTTAAAATGTGGAGGGCTCAATTGTAGGCAACACTGGAGGTAGGTAGACAAACCAGAGGATGTAGTCAATTGTAAACCAGCTTTAGACGTGGAGGACTCAGTGTACAACACTGGAGATAGGTAGACCGAACTGTGGGTGTAGTCAATTCTAAACCAGCTTTAGATATCGAGGATTCAATAGTACAACACTGCAGGTAGGTAGACAAAGCAGAGGATGTAGTCAATTCAAAACCAGCTTTAGATGTGTGGAGGACTCAATTGTACAACACTGGAGATAGGTAGACCGAACTGTGGGTGTAGTCAATTCTTAACCACCTTTAAAAATGTGGAGGGCCCAATTGTACAACACTGGAGGTAGGTAGACAAACCAGAGGATGTAGTCAATTCTAAACCAGCTTTAGATGTGGAGGGCTCAATTGTACAACACTGCAGGTAGGTAGACAGAACTGTGGGTGTAGTCATGCACTGCTGTATTTGCCCTCCTCTCCATGTTAACTTTAACCACAATCCACAAAAGCTGAAGAAGTTGCCATCCAGAAATACACATCTTTTCCCCAGGTCATTTGTAAATCACTGGAAATCTACATCCGGGAAAGTGGGCAAACCGTGGATGAAGAAACAATACCTAGTGATAGACCAGGCTGATGGACACAATTGTGGGATATTCGTCCTCATGGTAGGTTGGTTTATAGACACATATGTACGCCATGCGCTACTTAAGTCGACTTTTGGGATACAGAATCACTTGTACTATGGCAGCGGTCATGCCACAGAGGCTCAATTTCCCATCAACTATCGTCAATTCATGATCATCAGTTGAAATTGGAATATCAACATTGGCTATATGTGCCATATGACTGCCTTATGGCTGACCCACCTAAAGTGTCACTGCTCCAGACACTATTGACAAGGTAGCAGATGTCTCATATAGGGATTGTGGGAGAGTTGAGGGAAATCATCATTGACACACAAAGTTCGTTCATGTTGAGATCTCGCCATCAAAGTACATGTGATATAATCAAAACCTCATAAAATGTTCATGTGAAACCAACGGGTGTGTTTAATAACTAGGTATATAAAGAGCCTTTTAAAGTTTTAACCTTCATATCATCAGGCTGCTGATGCCCTTTTGGCGGAGAGATCTCCAGGAATAATGAGGAACTACCACGCAGAGAAGTACAGGCTGTATGTACTACAGAGGATACTGCAGCATGCCAAGGCGGATATACAAAGAGGAGGAAATCACACCTTGGAAGTGGATGTCACAGACAATACTCAACATTCTGAGACTGTGACGGAAGGAAATATACTGGAAAGAAGCTATACAACAGAAACAAAACAGGGTCAAGTCATTGAAACAGTTGTACAACATCATGATACTTTTGACGAATCCGACGGTGCTATGGCCACTGATAAAGGTATGTATAGTGAAGGTAATATGATCAACATTAGGTATAAAATTGTAAATAGCGATGTGATATTCTATTCTAAATATGTCTATATATACAATAGACTCCTCTCATACAACGGTAATGTATATTTACAGATGCAGATGAATACCCATGTCTCAATGAACACCTGTCACAGAAGCAGTTAATGGCATGTTTGTTAATTGTTGCTTTGGCGGGGAATAACCTGAAGAAGAGGTTGCTATGGGCAGGTTCTCACACAGGAACAAGAGTGGAAAGAGAAACCTACAACCGATACATTGCTTGGGCGCTCAAGGTTTTCGACATCAATGCAGACACATACACTAAGAAGATGATACAAAATGATTTAACACAATTGTCAGGATGCTGTCTATGTCAGGAGGCTGGATCATACAGAATAAGAAACCAAAACGTACCAATAAGGCTGAGAGACATACTGCTCAGCGATCTGAGACAATTGATTGCAAAGATGGACCTGGAATTTATATTTCGTTTTGTGAGTTCAAGAGCTGAATCCACTGAGGTGGAAGATGTAGATATCCCCTTCCAAATTGAATTGAAGCAAGATGATGTACCTGTTGTAGCTCAACGTTTTGCGGCAGCCATTCAGGGCAAAGAGTTTGCTTTTGTGTGCATGCATTCCCTCTTTCAGGAACAGACATTTGTCGATATGGTCTTTAAGAATCTGGTTCAAAATCTGAACAAGGACAATTCTACTCTCTTGAAATTATTGTCCAGTAATGACACTGTACATGGACAGTCCTTTCTGTTTTGGACGAGCATTACAGACAACTCGAAATTGTTGCGGAAGGCTTTGTCCACTGTTCAATTTAGTGTACATAACAGAAAGCAAGCTTTGTTTGGAAGTTGCTTTGGTAGTAGTTCAGACAACTTCGACTACTTGCTTTCCGAATGTAAGTGTAAGTTGGATCAGTTGTGTATGACATTACCAGATCTTCCAAGACCTCTTATCATCAAACTGAAAATGGAAGTTGTAGATGATCTAGGGGTGAAGTTCCACATGATTTCCTTGCTTGACATTGCCTGTATGAGTGGATTGTCTGCAGTGGCTTCCAGACTCTTGGATGTATCAAAGGCAATGAACAGGAATAGGTCAAGAAAGGCAACATATGTACATTATGCATCTATGTGCCAAAGGGCAGTAATATTATCAATACAATTATAAAGATGGGACTTCTAACATAAAGATCATAGGTCCGGGGTAACAACACCTTTACATTACGCATGTGCAGTAGGAAATGTTGGGATTGTAAGCATTTTGTTGCAGGAAGCAGTGGATACTGGAAAGCGAAACATGTGGGGTGAAACTGGGCTTCATTTGGCATGTTTATATGGGAATGTAGAAGTTGTTAAACTGTTATTACAGAACAATGGAACAACAACCGAGGCAGATAACAATGGTCGTACACCTCTACATGATGCAGTTTGGCAGGGACATACAGAGGTTATAGAAGTGTTATTGAAGTACAAGGCATGCATGGAAGAGGAAGATAAATATAGATGCACACCTCTACATGATGCAGCTTGGCAGGGACATACAGAGGTTGTAGAAGTGTTATTGAAGAACAAGGCAAATGTGGATGAGAAAGGCGATGATGGCCACACACCTCTACATGATGCAGCCTGTCAGGGACATACAGAGGTTGTAGAAGTGTTATTGAAGAACAAGGCAAATGTGGATGCGAAACGCGATGATGGCCACACACCTCTACATGATGCAGCCAACCAGGGACATACAGAGCTTGTAGATGTGTTATTGAAGAACAATGCAAATGTGGATGCGAAACGCGATGATGGCCACACACCTCTGCATAATGCAGCCTGGCAGGGGCATACAGAGGTTGTAGAAGTGTTATTGAAGAACAAGGCAAATATGGACGAGAAACGTCATAATGGTTCCACACCTCTACATAGAGCAGCCTATCGGGGACATACAGAGGTTGTAGAAGTGTTATTGAAGAACAAGGCAAATGTGGATGAGAAACGCGATGATGGGGACACACCTCTACATGATGCAGCCAATCAGGGACATACAGAGGTTGTAGAAGTGTTATTGAAGAACAAGGCAAATGTGGACGAGAAACGTCCTAATGGTTGCACACCTCTACATAGAGCAGCCTATCGGGGACATACAGAGGTTGTAGAAGTGTTATTGAAGAACAAGGCAAATGTGGATGAGAAACGCGATGATGGGGACACACTCCTACATGATGCAGCCAATCAGGACATACAGAGGTTGTAGAAGTGTTATTAAAGAACAAGGCAAATGTGGACGAGAAACGTCCTAATGGTTGCACACCGCTACATAGAGCAGCCTATCGTGGACATACAGAGGTTGTAGAGGTGTTATTGAAGAACAAGGCAAATGTGGATGCGAAACGCGATGATGGGGACACACCTCTACATGATGCAGCCAGGAAGGGACATACAGAGGTTGTAGAAGTGTTATTGAAGAACAAGGCAAATGTGGATGCGAAACGTCCTAATGGTTGCATACCTCTACATAGAGCAGCCTATCGGGGACATACAGAGGTTGTAGAAGTTTTATTGAAGAACAAGGCAAATGTGGATGCGAAACGCGATGATGGCCACACACCCCTACATAGAGCAGCCTGGCAGGGACATACAGAGGTTGTAGAAGTGTTATTGAAGAACAATGCAAATGTGGATGCGAAACGCGATGATGGGGACACACCTCTACATCATGCAGTCTGGCAGGGACATACAAAGGTTGTAGAAGTGTTATTGAAGAACAAGGCAAATGTGGATGCGAAACGCGATTATGGGGACACACCTCTACATGATGCAGCCTGGCAGGGACATACAGAGGTTGTAGAAGTGTTATTGAAGAACAAGGCAAATGTGGATGAGAAACGCGATGATGGCCACACACCTCTACATGATGCAACCTGGCAGGGACATACAGAGGTTGTAGAAGTGTTGTTGAAGAACAAGGCAAATGTGGATGAAAAGCGCGATGATGGCCACACACCTTTACATAGAGCAGCCTGGCAGGGACATACAGAGGTTGTAGGAGTGTTACTGAAGAACAATGCAAATGTGTATGCGAAACGCGATGATGGGGACACACCTCTACATGATGCAGCCTGGCAGGGACATACAGAGGTTGTAGAAGTGTTATTGAAGAACAAGGCAAATGTGGACGAGAAACGTCCTAATAGTTCCACACCTCTACATAGAGCAGCCTATCGGGGACATACAGATGTTGTAGAAGTGTTATTGAAGAACAAGGCAAATGTGGATGCGAAACGTGATGATGGCCACAAACCTCTACATGATGCAGCCTGGAAGGGACATACAGAGGTTGTAGAAGTGTTATTGAAGAACAAGGCAAATGTGGATGCGAAACGTCCTAATGGTTGCACACCTCTACATAGAGCAGCCTATCGGCGACATACAGAGGTTGTAGAAGCAAGTTATTGAAGAACAAGGCAAATGTGGATGCGAAACGCGATGATGGCCAAACACCTCTACATAGAGCAGCCTGGCAGGGTCATACAGAGGTTGTAGAAGTGTTATTGAAGAACAAGGCAAATGTGGATGCGAAACGCGATGATGGCCACACACCTCTACATGATGCAGCCTGGCAGGGACATACAGAGGTTGTAGAAGTGTTATTGAATAACAAGGCAAATGTGGATGCGAAACGCGATGATGGCCACACACCTCTACATAGAGCAGCCTATCGGGGACATACAGAGATTGTAGAAGTGTTATTGAAGAACAAGGCAAATGTGGATGCGAAACGCGATGATGGCAGCACACCTTTACATAGAGCAGCCTGGCAGGGACATACAGAGGTTGTAGAAGTGTTATTGAAGAACAATGCAAATGTGGATGCGAAACGCGATGATGGGGACACATCTCTACATGATGCAGCCAACCAGGGACATACAGAGGTTGTAGAAGTGTTATTGAAGAACAAGGCAAATGTGGATGCGAAACGCGATGATGGCATCACATCTCTACATGATGCAGCCTGGCAGGGACATACAGTGAGTGAGTGAGTGAGTTAAGATTTTAAGTCACATCGGCAATATTTCAGCCATATCGTGACTAAAGCAAGTTATAAATATATCAACAAATTAAGTGAAATAATAAAATTCTGCCAACGAAGGACAGTAAAACAACTAGGGTATCACAGATACAGATATAAAACTAGTAACTAAATCTAAAACAGTTGAACTATACAAGACGATACAATATAAAAAACAGGCTATTGATCGCCAACTACTGAAGGTAGAGCACCATACTAGGAACCATGGGGACTTACATTACTTTTGCTACCTGCATGGACCCTAGCTGGATTTACAACATCCCCTCAGCCGCTGGCGATGTAGGAACATTTAAAGCCGAAAGTTAAAATAACAGAAATGCTACGATTAAAAATATGGTTGTGCGATATGGACTTTGAAAGTGTATGGGACTTACGTACCCTCTCAGGAGGACAATAATTTTACGATGCTTTAACCCCCTTTGAGGATACAGCCGCTCACAATCGCAGTTGCTAATTCATACTACCATGTTTAAAATACCATTTATATATTTACAAAACTTATTATTCAAAATTTATGCAATAATTCTATTTCTTTTAAAAAACCAATTATTAAATGAGAATTGACAGTATAAAAAGATCCTTCAGTGTTTTGACACTGAAATATTTATCCTTAGATGGAAAAATCAATGCAGTCAAGCAGGACATGCTTGACCGTGATTCGTTCATCACAAGGGATACAGAATGGAGGATCTTCACCTTTCAACAAATACTCATGTGTATATCTTGTATGACCAATGCGACATCGTCGCATGATGACCTCCTCAAACCTGGACCGACAACCCAAGTAGGTGTGACCGATAGTTGGTTTAATTTCGTGTAATTTATTTATACCTACCTGGGTGTCCCACTTCTTTTGCATTAGATCTCGGATATATGATCTAATCACGGCTTTATAATCAGAATATGGGATAAGAAGTGGTGTCACAGATTTGTTGAGTGCTGCCTTGGCAGCAAAATCGGCCATTGTGTTACCTGAGATTCCTACATGGCTGGGTCAGGGACATACAGAGGTTGTAGAAGTGTTATTGAAGAACAAGGCAAATGTGGATGCGAAACGTCCTAATGGTTGCACACCTCTACATAGAGTAGCTTATCGGGGGCATACAGAGGTTGTAGAAGTGTTATTGAAGAACAAGGCAAATGTGGATGCGAAAAGCGATGTTGGCCACACACCCCTACATAGAGCAGCCAATCGGGGACATACTGAGGTTGTAGAAGTGTTATTGAAGAACAAGGCAAATGTGGATGCGAAACGCGATGATGGCCACACACCCCTACATAATGCAGTCTGGCAGGGACATACAGAGGTTGTAGAGGTGTTATTGAAGAACAAGGCAAATGTGGATGCGAAACGCGATGATGACCACACACCTCTACATAGAGCAGCCTATCGGGGACATACAGAGGTTATAGAAGTGTTATTGAAGAACAAGGCAAATGTGGATGCTAAACGCGATGGTGGCCACACACCTCTACATAGAGCAGCCTATCGGGGACATACAGAGGTTGTCGAAGTGTTATTGAAGAACAAGGCAAATGTGGATGCAAAACGCGATGATGGCCACACAGCCCTACATGATGCAGCCTGGAAGGGACATACAGAGGTTGTAGAAGTGTTATTGAAGAACAAGGCAAATGTGGACGAGAAACGTCATAATGGTTGCACACCTCTACATAGAGCAGCCTATCGGGGACATACAGATGTTGTAGAAGTGTTATTGAACAACAAGGCAAATGTGGATGCGAAAAGCGATGATGGCCACACACCTCTACATGATGCAGTCTGGCAGGGACATACAGAGGTTGTAGAAGTGTTATTGAAGAACAAGGCAAATGTGGACGAGAAACGTCATAATGGTTGCACACCTCTACATAGAGCAGCCTATTGGGGACATACAGAGGTTTTAGAGGTGTTATTGAAGAACAAGGCAAATGTGGATGCGAAACGCGATGATGGGGACACACCGCTACATGATGCAGCTTGGCAGGGACATACAGAGGTTGTAGAAGTGTTATTGAAGAACAAGGCAAATGTGAATGCTAAAAGCGATGATGGCAGCACACCTCTACAAAAAGCAGCCTATCGGGGACATACAGAGGTTGTAGAAGTGGTATTGAAGAACAAGGCAAGTGTGGATGCGAAAAGCGATGATGGCACACCTCTACATAATGCAGCCTGGCAGGGACATACAGAGGTTGTAGAGGTGTTATTGAAGAACAAGGCAAATGTGGATGCAAAACGCGATGGTGGCCACACACCTCTCAATAGAGCAGCCTATCGGGGACATACAGAGGTTGTAGAAGTGTTATTGAAAAACAAGGCAAATGTGGATGCGAAAAACGACGATGGGGACACACCTTTACATAGAGCAGCCTTGCAGGGACATACAGAGGTTGTAGAAGTGTTATTGAAGAACAAGGCAAATGTGGATGCGAAAAGCGACGATGGGGACACACCTTTACATAGAGCAGCCTTGCAGGGACATACAGAGGTTGTAGAAGTGTTATTGAAGAAGAAGGCAAATGTGGATGCGAAACGTCCTAATGGTTCCACACCTCTCCATAGAGCAGCCTATCGGGGACATACAGAGGTTGTAGAAGTGTTATTGAAGAACAAGGCAAATGTGGATGCGAAACGCGTTAATGGGGACACATCTCTACATTATGCAGCCCGGAAGGGACATACAGAGGTTGTAGAAGTGTTATTGAAGAACAAGGCAAATGTGGATGCGAAACGCGATAATGGGGACACATCTCTACATTATGCAGCCTGGAAGGGACATACAGAGGTTGTAGAAGTGTTATTAAAGAACAAGGCAAATGTGGATGAGAAACGCGATTGTGGCCACACACCTCTCAATAGAGCAGCCTATCGGGGACATACAGAGGTTGTAGAAGTGTTATTGAAAAACAAGGCAAATGTTGATGCGAAAAACGACGATGGGGACACACCTTTACATAGAGCAGCCTTGCAGGGACATACAGAGGTTGTAGAAGTGTTATTGAAGAACAAGGCAAATGTGGATGCGAAACGTCCTAATGGTTCCACACCTCTCCATAGAGCAGCCTATCGGGGACATACAGAGGTTGTAGAAGTGTTATTGAAGAACAAGGCAAACGTGGATGCGAAACGCGATAATGGGGACACATCTCTACATTATGCAGCCTGGAAGGGACATACAGAGGTTGTAGAAGTTTTATTGAAGAGCAAGGCAAATGTGGATGCGAAACGCGATGATGGCCACACACTCTAGATAGAGCAGCCTGGCAGGGACATACAGAGGTTGTAGAAGTGTTATTGAAGAACAAGGCAAATGTGGATGAGAAACCCGATGATGGCAGCATACCCTACATGGTGCAGCCTTGCAGGACATACAGAGGTTGGTGGTAAGGTGCTGTTGAAAAACGGGTTAATGTCCAATGAGAAGAATTATAATGAACAAACTGCTTTACAGAAAGCAATGGCCCGTTATGGCAGCGCAAGGACTTTAACCGAGGCAGCAAATAAACATGTCCTGACACCGAACCTTGGTTTTAGTTCCACACGGAAGCTATACTGCCAGTGGTCTTCTTGTACCCACACAACCATCATCACATTGTCCTGTAAACCTCACACAAGTTGAGCTGCGAGGGTCTTTGTTCCCAGAGTCAAGAGGAGAAATATTTTCCAAAGACATGCAACGTGGTTCGTACAAGAGAGGCATTACCCTGCAGTCACGGCAACCCCATCCTGAAAACGCGAATCCTAACAGCCCTCATCCAGATGCTGCACATATAGACATATGTTCACTCACTCAAACACCAGGATCTATACAAGGAAACTCAATCATGATCCGCTGGCGAGTTCAAATACCACCAGTGTTTCTGGTGTGTACCATCACCCACTACACCGAGAGTGGGGAGGCCATAGATGCTACAACCACTCTAAGTAGGGACACAAACAGCTTGACATTGTTTTATTATAGCAGCCAGCTTTACATGGCTTTCCAACCTCAATCTTTCAAACAGACATGCAGAAAGCAGGAGATTGTGTGTGATATGTGTAGATTTAGTTTCAGTGTTTTGATAAGCATATCAGTTTCAGAAAAAGCCTTGCACAATACGAATGCTGTTGCAATAGTACATATGATGCTATAAATAATAGTTCATGGTATGTTCCACCTGGTCATCCACCGGATGGGTTGGTTCTTTGAGGCACACTGGGAATCTACTGTACACTAGAGATTGTTACAACACTGGCAACACTCAAATCACCTTGAAACATTGTTGGTCCATAGGCTGATGAACGATCAGGTTTTCTAGCGGGATACGATCTCAGCATATGTTAGCCTGGTTATTATAGAGCAACAATATAGAAAAATGATTGTACCATTATATCTTGCATAACAAACTCCGCAATTGGAAACAATATTGCTCTCATGTTTGTATATAGCTTTGAAATGTGTATGGAACTATTATTAAGTAAATGCCTTTATTTTATCAGATTGTCAACAAGTGTAAATAGAAACATTTAACTTTAAGTACTGAATAGCATGTTATAACATGATGTCGTAAATTACTGTAAAGGGTTGTGTTTTGTGGACATATATTTATTCTATGCTTTGCATTATCCTCTAGATTGTTGATAGAATTGGAAGATCTTATTTGTGATGTTTGGCTGTAAAAGTAGAGCAAATCATGCCCAATAATTTTGTATTTTGTTGATGAAGCCTATTTCTGGTGCCCTCCCGCCGTGATATTGCTGGAATATTACTGAAAGCGGTGCAAACCCAGACTAATTGAGTTGCATGACCACTACAGCAACTATGCCGCTAGTGTAAAATGACTTTGTGTCAATGTATGTTATTCCTTACATTGGATATCGGTTATATTTCAGCATGTAATATTGATGCTTTGCAACGCGCTATAGTTATGGTTCATTCATAGTGTCATCAGATAACGTGTTTCGTGTTTTCAGCTGTTAGCATTACAGAAAACGAAATTTGTTTCTGCAAGACTAGGGGGCACTGACGTTCTATATTCTGAAAATGAATCAGTTTACCAGTGTATTGTTTTAAAAGAATTCAGAAAAGATGTTTGAAAGTTTTACAAGAATTTAAGAATGGATCACGTTCCTCATTCAAGACATTCAAGTGTGACGATTTTACAAAATTTATGTTATAGGGACTGTGACATGGCCTAGGTTTCAATAAAGATGTGTGAGAATTATTTAAATTATTCATTCATTTACGTTTAGGATTCTGTTCAAAACTTGTTTTGGATTAATGTTAAATTTTACAATGCTACAGGAAATCAAATCTTTTCTGTATGACATATGTGTTTAGTTTCGATTTCCAAATTTAAAGACTTCATAATCAAGAGTGAGTGAGTGAGTTATTATTTAACGTCATGTTGTCAATATTCCAGCCATATCGTGACGAGAACATTTGACATTGTAATAGAATATATAGTTGTAATAAACCTACCGACGGAGGACGGTAAGCCTTCGATCTGGAATACCAATATGCAAACTAGCAGAAACAAAGCTAGAATGTTAATTAAAGAGACGGCTACAAATGTAAAAGGGGCTATAGATCGCCAACAACAGAACTTCATAATCTAAGAGAAAGTGAACACGAACACATTCTGCTTTTGTGTATAGGGACAATTACCGTGGTGATACCGCCAAATCAGATTCGTATTATATTTTCTCTACTGTTTTTACATATTACAAATCTCGGTGAGTCTTGTGAACGAAATGTATAGAATTTGCATCATGAGGATAACAGGTTCAGAAATATGCTTATATTTCCCACATCCCCTTACAAGTTGTTTTACACATTTTATAGTCACGCATTCCTTGCTGCCGGTGGTGTAAAGAGACAATTACCATTAGTATGATACCATAAATCGAATTCTTACTATATTTTCTACTGTTTTACGCGATTGCGTACAAATCTCAGTTGTCTTGTGAACAATGTATCATACTCTGAACGCTGAATTCGAATAAATTGCATCCTGGGGATAACAGGTTCAAGAAATCTGCTTATATTTCTCATCACATACAGATATTTATATCCTTATGCGCCCAAATCAAACACGATATATGGTTTTATATTGTGCTATAACACTATCATGGTAACCATATCACTCCGGGGATAACGTCGCATGAGTGGGGTGTAGTGGACCCTTTAACACCTGAAGACGTGAACATATATAGTACTCGTTGTTGCCTTGAATGGCCATGCTTGCCTGTTCTCATTCTGAGTTTGTTTTAATTCAATTCAATGCTTAATCAGAAGTCATACTAGAGCATTACACAATCCATATATTTTACAAATAATATCCTATTTTATATCAAAGGGTCTGACAGGAAGACGATTGGAATACTTTATGCGGCGTTTACGATAGCTGGTCGAGGAGGCAACTCTGCTGTCAGATATTTATTTCTAATAGGCCAAAGGTTTACAAGTAGTGATCACTGGATTTAAAACACCCCTTGACGCAACTTATAGGCGCATAACCTGTACCCGAACGAACGTGTGGTTACAATGACTAGGTTAAGCTTTGATCAATTATTGAGCGGGCTTTAAGCGACTTTAGCATAATGTTAGCCGAAAGCTTAGACTTCGTTGAAACAAACAAAGTAAAGTAATAAATAGTAGTACCGAAGTTTAAAAATATGTTCTACATAATTGTTTTGTTTTGCTTACCTTGCATTTTATAGAATTGAGGTGGTAATTCCTGAAGCATTTGTGAAATGGTTTATGGTTAGCGCAGGAACCACACCACTCTATTTACAGGTAAAAGTGGCGCTGATTGTTAAGAAAAGCAGAACTATTCGCGCTCGACGTGAAGTAACTGCTCTACCGATATAAACAGAGGGACGTTTTGAAATAATGTCTTATCATTTGATGGTCGTTTACCACTGTACTTTACAGCGGAAGATAATGTCTTAATTCGCATAAGCAACATTGAATTTCGTATCAATTTCTAGCACATGACTCATAACTCATAACATGAAGTACTGTTAACTCGTAGGTAAACGAGGTGAAAGCATAGCGGACAGGAGGTCGAAAAGAACTCCCTCTGCCAGTGGGCAGAGAAGAGCTGAAGAGGCATCAAGAGTAGGTTTGTTGATTACTGACTTAAAACATGGTCAGTTCTTTGTTTATTATGTTTTGAAAGCACTTGAATATATAACATCATTTGCCTTCCATCACTGCGAGGAGGTGTTAATCTTTGAGTTGTTTCTACAGACTTTGTATTGAAAGTAAGGGTGAGGTGAGTGAGTGAGGTAATATTTAACGTCACATCGGCAATATTTCAGCCATATCGTGACGAGAACATTCGATATTGAGGAAATGTAATATATGTATATTATAAAAATGCCTGCAAAACGAAGGGCAGTAAAACAACTAGAATATGACAGATATATATGTAAAACTAGTAATAGAGCTCCAAAAAACATTTTAACTATAGTTGACAACACAATATAAAAATAGGCTATAGATCGCTAACAACTGATGGTAGATCACCATATACTAGGGACCACGGGGACTTACAGCACATTTGCTTCCTGCATGGGCCCTAACTGGATTTACATCATCCCCTCAGCTGTTAGCAATTGAGATATATCTAATGAAACATTAAAATTACACATATTCTACGATTAAAAGGAAAGTTGAAATTTACTTTGAATGTTTTTGGGACTTACGTACCCTCCTCAGGAGGACAATAATTTTACAGTACTTTAACCCCCCTCGAGGATACAGCCACTAACAATCTTGTGTTACGAATTCAAACTTTCAATCAAAAAATATTTAGCTATTTACAAATCTGTTAACAAATTTAATTCTTTAAAAAGCAATAATTAAATGAGGACGTATATTAGTAAAAAGATCCTTCATCGTTCGTGATTTGAAATAGATATCCCTTGATGGAGTACTCAACACAGTCAAGGTTAGGACTATGCTTGACCATGATCTTCGTTCATCACAAAGGGATACCAACACGAAGGATCCTCACCTTTCAATAGGTACCCATGCGTATATCTTGTGTGGGCCAATACGACATCGTCGTGTGATGACCTCTTCAAATCTGGACTGACAACCCAAGTAAGTGTAAACCAATATAGGGTTTTATTTCATGTAATTTATTGATACCTACTTGGGTGTCCCACTTCTTTTGCATCAGATCACGGATGTAAGATCTAATGCAAGCTTTGTGTAATCAGAGGTATGGGATAAGAAGTGGTGTCACAGATTTGTTGAGGGCTGCCTTAGCAGCAATATCAGCCATCGATGTTCCCAGAAATGCCAACGTGGCTGGGCAACCAACAAAGACGTGTCGCATTGGCCAGTAGCAAAGTTCCATTATACAATTCAATAATTTCTAATAAAATGGATGTTTT